ATTTTCATTTTAGATTTTGTTCTAATACATCCTAACCGGACATTTAAGACATACCAAGTCTACAGATATACAGTTAGTAACAGAGTCTAAAATGCGAGTATATACATAGATGGGGGGGGGGGGAAGCTGTCCATTGAACGACAGGTTGAGATTTGTACCATTACCGGGGCCAGTTTTGCAATGCTCTCCTCCGAAGGTGCTCTTTAAGAGAGGTTTTGAAGGTAAGTATAGTTTTACTTTCCTTTACAGTTGTGGGAAGAGCGTTCCACCTTGATGTGGCATAATTGCGAAATGTGTATTCCCCTTTTTTGTGCCAAATCTGGGTTTCACATGATTTGTGGAGCTCCCGCTGTTGTTATGATCATGGTATTCCTTGACCTTTGGGAAGAATTTTGACATGTACATGGGTACCATAGAGGTGTAGTGGATCTTGTAGACCAGGCCCATTGCAAGTAGCTGTACTCTGTCGTCTACTCTAAGCCATCCTAGGTTGTCAAAGTGGGCAGAGGTGAGGTGGGTTCTAGATGAAAGGTCAAGCAGTAGTCTGACCAGTTTATTTTGCGATGTTTGAAGTTTTATTTTTAGCGCCTTGGAGGTGCTATGGTACCATGACGTGCAAGCATAGTAATAGTACCCTTGAATGAGTGCTCCTGCCAGAGTTTTCAGGGTGTTTTTGTTTACCAGAGAGGAGATCCGGTATAGGAATCTAGTTCTTTGATTGACTTTTTTTTATTACATTGGATGCCATTTTGTCACAGGAGAGGTTTGCCTCAAGAATAGATCCTAGGTATGTAATTTCCTTCTTACTTGTGACAATAATGTCGCCCACTGCAACTGAGAAGTCGTCGGATTTGCTGAGATTATGTTTCGAACCGAAGAGAATGGACTCTGTTTTACCCAGGTGTAATGATAATTTATTATCGGCGAGCCAGGTGCAGATTCTGCCGAACTCGGAGCTGAGGGTTTTTTCAACCTGCAACCTGTTCCTGTCAGAGACCAGCAGGGCTGAGTCGTCCGCGAACAGGAACAAGTTGCAGTCACATGCTGATGACATGTCATTTACATAAATTAGGAACAGTAACGGACCTAATATGCTTCCTTGTGGAACACCACAGCTCACTGGGAGGGGGGGGGACAGAGTACCGTTTACCTCCACCATCTGTTCTCTCCCCTCCAGGTAGGATTGCATCCAGCTCACCGATAGTTTATCAAAACCAATTGCTTTTAGCTTGTTAATCAGAATGGGGTGATTGACAGTGTCGAAAGCCTTTTGTAGGTCCAGCATCACCATGCCGCAGTACTTGCCCTCGTCCACCTCTTGTTTGATGTGGTCGCTCAAATAAAGAAGGCATGTGTCAGTGGAGTGGGATGTTCTAAAGCCAGATTGAAATTCATAGATTAGTTTCTTTTCCGCAAGGTACTTTTCGACCTGTTCATATACTATTTTTTCCATGACTTTCGAGATGGAGGTAAGTATAGAAACAGGGCGGTAGTTGCCTGGGTCCAATTTGCTGCCCTTTTTGTGCAGGGGGGTTACTCTTGCAATTTTGAAGTCTTTGGGTACTTTTCCCTGTTTTATGGAGAGGTTAATTATGTGAGCTATGACTGGTGAGATGGCGGTTGCTGTGTCTCTGAGGAATTTGGAGGGGATATTGTCGTGGCCAGTGGCCTTGTTAGGTTGGAGGGCGCTCAGTTTAATGAGTACCTCTGCTGTTGTTACCCTTGCTAGACTGAAATCATCTTTGCGTACCCCTAGGTTTTTGTAGTAGGTCATGATGTGATCGACTCCAAAAAGCCCGGAGTGGGAGGGTAATTTAATAGATCACTATCTTCCGACGGAGAGTCCTGAAATACGATGTCCAATGCCTCCTCTACGGACAAAAAAGTCTTCTTTCTGGCTGCCATTGTTACAATGAAGACAAAGAAAACAAGTCCGGCTGTTTCGCTGATCGATCTGCCGTTCTCTGCTCTCCTGTCGCGGGACGGGACATGCTATGACATGCTATGACATGCTATGCTATGCTATACTATGCTGCGTAAAAAGAGTGGGCGTGTGCGTAAACCAGCTATACTGCCTTTATTTATACTTACGCAAGATCCTATCTCTGGAACCCATTGGTTGATTTGGGTGATTGACACCTTTTTTGAATCGTTGGTTAGAGCCAATCGAATCGAGTGGCAGTTTCAAAATACGTAAATACGTTACGCCTGCGGAGGGGGAGCTATGCGTAAACTGCATCTCCCGCAGCTGAAGCCACGGACTGTTAACCTCTTAAGCCCCAGCTCGGGTCCGAAAATGCTATATATGTAGCAACAGTGCTATATCTGAAGTGTCATTCATGAAACTATTAATATTCCATACCCATCTGACCGGAGGAAACTTGGCTAACTGACGATACGAAAAAAAAAGAAGTTTTTCGAAAAAGAAGTCTCACAAGAAGCCTCGAAATGAGCCCATGGCAAAAACGGGCAATTGCTATTTCTGCTCATAACTCACAAAAACGATCATTTATAATTCATACTTTCTGCACAAACAACACATTTTCTGAAAGCTGAGATTCCACAGATTCCATGGGTATACACCCCATCACTACAGGCACAATATTAACCGAGCTAGCAGCCAGAACATAGCAAGTAAACAATATCAGTTTTCAAATCCATGACAATAATTAGGTCTTACCTTGGCTGTTTTGTAATCAAAAGTTGTGTTCAAAGGAATAAAAACGCTGCTCAAGGTTAATCCAATGTCTCTAGTCTTGTCACTTTAAAATGATTACTGATAATCAATCCTTTCATTCACGGCAGAAGAGTAGGTCCAACGATTAAAGGATTATAGCTGGCTGTTTATGGAACATGCAAGTGTGAAATAAAGGGACAAGGCGGCAGAATACTTGCATTAGCAGTCAACAAAACTACTAGAACATCAGGGTAATTCATTCAAAATGCAACCACTCCTTGACAGATCTACATATTCATACAGTTTCTCTTAAAATGACACATTTGTTTCAGTCAATTTGTGAAGAATAGTGTTTCCACCGCTCTGTTTACTGTTGAGTTTGTCACTGAAGCAGCACTTTTTATTAGCTCTAAGTACAGTAAATTACTAATAGCAAAAATAACATAATCCCATTATGAACTCTTATCAATCAGGCGTGGTTAATTAATGAATCCGCTGAAGTCAAATGGGATTGTACACAGTCTACATGTGCATGCAGGGATATGAATTAGATTGCTTATTATGTTATGATTTTTTTATATTTGAGCTTTTGAGTCTGTGAACAAAATAATAAAATCCACAAACGTTGAGTGGAAATATATTGGTGACAGATTTGTCTTCCTGGCACAAACTACCAGTGATTTGCCTGCCATTGCTGATTTTATCTGTCATTAACCTCGGCTAAGCTAAGAACAGCTTCCCCCTTCTCCTCCGCTGGTCTGACAGGGGAAAGTGCTAAGCACATTAGCTGCAGGGTTAAATGATGAACTGAGTCTTCTGTCGAGTGTTAAGGCTCCATGTTCGCTTTCTGCAGCCACTGCAGAGGATTGTTACCTTTTTTTCTTTTTCACTTTGCATGTTTATTATGCGCCAGGAAAGAATAAAAAGTCCAGTTGAACTTGAGGTTTACTTCATATCTATATATCTTTTCACGTTGGTATATTTTTAAAACTTGGCTGATCTTGATTATTATTACAGAGGAAGTGTGTGTTGTTCCTGCATGAAATGTAACGTGCATCTGCAGAGATACACACGCATGTGTGTGTGTGTGTGTGTGTGTGTGTGTGTGTGTGTGTGTGTGTGTGTGTGTGTGTGTGTGTGTGTGTGTGTGTGTGTGTGTGTGTGTGTGTGTGTGTGTGTGTGTGTGTGTGTGTGTGTGTGTGTGTGTGTGTGTGTGTGTGTGTGTGTGTGTGTGTGTGTGTGTGTGTGTGTGTGTGTGTGTGTGTGTGTGTGTGTGTGTGTGTGTGTGTGTGTGTGTGTGTGTGTGTGTGTGTGTGTGTGTGTGTGTGTGTGTGTGTGTGTGTGTGTGTGTGTGTGTGTGTGTGTGTGTGTGTGTGTGTGTGTGTGTGTGTGTGTGTGTGTGTGTGTGTGTGATGTGGTGGTCTCCTGTTGCAGCTGCATGGGATGCTGAACCAGGCTGTGCATGAGCACAAAACCGCATGCACAACCTCATCGTGTGCATTCACTTTTATTTACTATCATTGTGGTTATACTAATGTTTTTTGCAACAAACTGTGAAAAAGATAAGTGCAGCTAAAAAAAGACACCTATCTTTCAGCCTTTAAAAAAAAAAAAAAAAAGACAAAATGAAAGCAACACTTCTTCTGTAAACCCCCAAATACAGGGCAACACAAGTGACAGTGAATCTCATAAAGTGATGATATGAAGAAAAACAGTTTGTAGGTGCATTTACAGATGTTCCTTCATCTACATTAAAAGGAGGATATCAGGTTCTTGAAAGCTTCTACCCAATTTATCACAATTTAACAACACTTTGATGTTAACAGCTCCAAAGAACATAACGTTAGGGCACTTGATATCCTAAAACTCCCCATTTGAAATGTTTTTGCAAAGTTAGGAAGCCAAGCAGACTTTGAAGAATCTTATCTCTTAAGTATTTTAGTTGGAAGATGATCACATCCTAATTGTGAGTAGCTCGAGATCCAGAAGTTTCTATCAGGAGCTGAAAAGAGAATACATATTGATGATGATGTGTTAGTGTGGATATACAGCTTGTTCCAGTGCCCCCAGGTGGACAAAAAGTTGGCTAATATAGGTTTCAACTGAATTTTTGGTGTCCAAACAGTCGGTTTATTATTTTGTATTTCACAAAAACAACGAAAAACCATTAATCCAGCTTTTCAAAGTGGGAAAATTCATGAAGACCTTTTGATATCGCCTTCTTCTCTCTCAAAGTATCAAAGATTCTCAAGGTAATTTCAGATTATTTCTAACAACCTTTTTGTGTCCCCCTCTCTCTTTCTTTCTTCATCGTTGTCTGCAGTCTAAAGTCACCGCTGCCCTCACATCGCCCACAGCCTGAACAAAAGCAGCGACCATGGGCAAACAGAACAGCAAGCTCCGTCCCGACGTCATGCAGGACCTGATGGAGAACACGGAGTTCACCGAGCACGAGATCATGGAGTGGTACAAGGGCTTCTTGCGGGACTGTCCCAGCGGCGCGCTCTCCATGGAGGAGTTCAAGAAGATCTATGCCAACTTCTTCCCCTACGGAGACGCCACCAAGTTCGCCGAACATGTCTTCCGCACGTTTGACGCCAACGGAGATGGGACTATCGACTTCAGGGAGTTCATCATCGCTCTGAGCGTGACCTCTCGTGGTCGGCTGGACCAGAAGCTGAAGTGGGCATTCAGTATGTACGATCTGGACGGGAATGGATACATTAGCAAGGCGGAGATGCTGGAGATTGTAACGGTGGGTTTTACTCTTAAAGTCTGGAGTATATTACCTCATTCAACCCCCCACTTTCTGCTTCTCTATCTGTTGACAGCCCTCAGTCTTTCAGTGGCCACTGCATGCCATCATAGTAGCGTCATGTTCCTCAAACTACTCAAGCAGTGAAGCAATATTTTGCTCAGCCATCCACACCAGCTGCTCCATCATATTTCCATCTGCTTCTGTGTTCTGCACCATTTGACCGCCCACAGCACGGAAACCAGCCACTGAGTAATTTTAGAAACCAGCAGTTCCGACATTTCTCAATAACACTCATGTGATGTATTCCTAGAAGGGAGCGGCCCTCCTCTGATCCTCGTATTGACTCAGCATTGCATCCAGCAGCTGTGAGCCCCACCCCCCTCCAGTGTTGCTTTACAACAGCTAGTTTAACCCAGGCTCCTCGTCTTATTGGATAACCGGCTCTGACGCGCAACAGCAATCCTTTACACATGTTCGCAAATCCCAGTGCTAAAATGAGTGCTAGATCATGTGTAATCCCATTCTTTCACCAATCATCCATGTTTTATTCTGTGTGTGTGTGTGGGTGTGGGTGTGTGTGTGTGTGTGTTGTGTGTGTGTGTGGGTGTGGGTGTGTGTGTGTGTGTGTGTGTGGCCTAGCATTACTATACTTGTGGGGACCTAAATCTGTTTACACAGTCACGTGTGGGGACTCGCCTCCCTTATGGGGACAAATTGGATGTCCCCATAAGGGGAATAATTAATTTTAGGGTGAAGACTTGGTTAGGTTTAGGGTTAGGCATGTGTTGGTTATGGTTAAGGTTAGGATAAGTCTCCAGGAAATGCATGTAAGTCAATGTAATGTCCCCTGAAGTGATGTATCCTCCTGGGACCCGAGGAAAAAAAGTGTCTTGACAGACATGGTGTGTGTGTGTGGATGACGTGATACATTTTGCTAAATGTCCATCAGTCCAACATAGGGCTGCATTTACTTATTATTTTCATTGTGTATTTAGATCAGCTGATGTATTTTGATGCCTGATTATAGGGTCCGCTGCAGCATCCCTTCATCTTACCATTACTCGAAAAGTAAAATATGTCCATCACAATAACCCAAAATCCAAGGTGAAGTCTTCAAATCATTGGTTTGAATAATAGTCCAAACCAAAAAGATATGTACAATCATTTAATTGCAAATATGTTGCTGAATTAATTTAATTTAGTTTTCTGTAATTGTATTCTACATGCATCTTCCTCAATGCAGCTGTCATATTAGTGACACATATCCATAACATGGCCTAAAGATGATCACAATTTTAACAGAGGCTGAACCATTACCCGCCCATATAAGCCGATTATTTAAATAAAAGTTTTGTGTGATGGATGCAGATGATCCGAAACACTCTTCATCATTTGGAGGAATATTTCACTTTTTCTAACCGTCTAATAGAAAGATGTCAAGGACTGAACAACAAACATACGCAGCAACATTGATATATAGCAACAGCTTCAGTGTTCAAGTTCGTCAGAAAACCTAAACAGTGAAGCAATACATTCACTTTATCTATTTAAAAACCTAAACCATGTGTTTAGGCCTGGGTACTTCCCTTTTTGTTTCCGCGCAGACGCATCAGCCCCAGAGCTAAACATAAATAAATAAGTAATCCTTTATCTCTCTTCATCCCAGAGGAGTTGTATTGATTGATGGGTCATATATATATTTCACTGCATCTTCAACAATCTAGCTGATGCAACCTTGCATTTGTGCTTCTAGCCGGACTATGAAACGTGATCAGACTGTAGACACTTTGTTTTTGACTGAGATATCTACCATTTAAATGTAATACACCCACTTAAACCGTTAAAGAAGGTTACCGTAGGTGACTTAACTAACCACAAACAACTCTTTTTACAATTGTAGTCTGAAACATAAAATCTTGTTTATGACTTCCTCCTCTCTGTTCCCTCTATCTTCAGGCTATTTACAAGATGGTTTCCTCTGTGATGAAGATGCCCGAGGACGAGTCTACACCGGAGAAACGAACGGACAAAATCTTCAGGCAGATGGACACAAATCGAGATGGTGAGCCTTCTTCATTCTGCCTTTCACTCTGCTGCAGTGTTTTCTGATAACACAGTCGCTTCTTTAAAGCCTACAACTGAACTCAGTGCCCTGTCAATCTCAGTAACACTGCACATGGAGAATATAGGCTAATTTAATTGGCATTTCATCTAATTTAACATCATAAGAAAACAATCAACTATTACTAAAAATAGCCCAAATGATCACAAGACAACTAAAACTCACCCAATTAAATTAAAAAGAAGCAGGAAATCCAGCCTATGATGCAATACTGGCCAAATCCTGTAGATGCAGTCTAGCAGTCTAAGTTGTAGCTGTTTAATAAAAGTTAAATAAAATAAATATAAATGTTTTCCGTTGTCCTCAAAGAGAAGAATAATCTATATTATTTTCCACAATAAGCTTGTTTGGCTATAGGGATGCTCCTGCTAAAACAGACTTTCCTGCACATGGGGTTTTTGGTTCATACCGTACTTTTTTTTGTATTGCTATGAGCAATTGTTTAAGGAAAGTAACATCATCATGGGGAAGATATCTGCTCTTTTCTTTTGATTAAACATATTTTGTATCATCTGAAATGAATAAACAAAACCATTAATACTTGTCTTTCTCTCACAGGTAGACTGTCCCTTGAGGAGTTTGTTGAAGGAGCGAAAAGCGACCCCTCCATCGTCCGGCTGCTGCAGTGTGATCCCAGCAGTGCTGGGCTGTAGAAAACTGGACTCTTCCCCCATCATTGCTTTGATTCATTTAACACAATTTTAATATCTCTCCCAGCTGACCCACCTGAGATGGTTGACATTTGATCACTTGAGCTTTAGAGGCACATCCACACACACACACACACACACACACACACACACACACACACACACACACACACACACACACACACACACACACACACACATACACACACACACACACACACACTGCGACTGTACTTGCTAAAAATACCAAAGCCTGCTGCAGATATAGTCTTTCAGACGCTAACATGCACATTCTGTACATGTGCCTCTATGCCTGATCAAAATCTGCAGACAACATAGATCTCATACGTGGTACAAATATAACACAAAGGACTGAAATCCCATCAAAGACTTGTTAAACGCTGAATCAAAGTTGTGCTATCTCTGTCGGAGAAGACGGTCGACGAGGTTAATCCAACAGATTCGTGAGGTACATTGAGCCGAGTTCAAGTTTATTATTGTTTTTGTTTTTATGCTCATTGTGTTCTCTTTTAACTGACTCGGGTTGTTGAGTGATGACTGACAGATTTTTACAAAGTATTCTAGCTCCATGTTAACACTGGAAAAAAATGAAGTAAATGAGTCTGGCACTACAAGTTATCAAAGCTAACAGTATGGCTTAGGTAGACAAGAGATCTGGGACGTTTAGTTTTAAAGTACAGAATAATTTAAAAAGGGATAAAAGCAGTTTGTTTTTTTAAATGTCTATTTTGGAGGAAGGTTACACCAAACCAAAATGATACTCAGATTTCTAAATCAAGGGGAATATTTTGACTACAGGTCACAACCATCTGTTCTTTTGAAAATGACTTTTATGCCAAGTTCTGTATACACACACACACACACACACACACACACACACACACACACACACACACACATCTCACACACACACACATCAGACACACACACACATCACACAAACACATCACACAAACACAACTTAATTTAACAGATGGATACATGGATTTGACATATTCACATAAACTGAGCTGTGAACTGTGGTTCAACAAGTGTATGAGCAAAGAAAAGTTAGTAGTTGTATGAATATATAGTATGTTACTTATATATTCTTTTACTCTGTGATCACATTGTGGCGGTTCGCTACAGTGGAAAAAAAAATAATTTTACAATTTTGACTTATAAATTATTGGATTGTGATTATAAACATTTTAATTTACTTGACGAATATGATATGAGAGAAAGTTGTACAGTATATCACCCATATTTATGCTAGAGATGTTAAAAAAGGAGAGGACCACACATATTGCTATTCATTCAGAAAATCCTCAGCCACATTTAGTTTATAAAGACTTATTTTTGCTCTTTTTGAGAGAGAAAAAAGCTACAAATCTCAGTCCAATTCAGTCTACTGACATCTGTTTCCCAATAAGTCGGTACACATAGGCAGTCATTAGGATTGTGTGTATAAACGATGGCATACAAGTAATTAAAGTGCAACATTAACAACTGGAAATGTCAAGTCTTTTGCGAATGTGACTTTACATCTCTTTAATGTGCACATAAACATTTAAGTGCAACTGTGACAAGGGAGATTACATTTTTTTTTATGATTATGTCGCACAGTAACAATTGACAAATGGAACAAAGCATTGAAGTTGACAGCGAGGAACAGCAGTGTCCACCAAACATCACTGTTTTTGCAGGATTTACCGTTAGCTCTAACTCGCTTCTCACTTACCTCTGACACACCAAAATATGTGGTAAGTCTTAACGGGAAGCTTAATGATAACTTTTGGAGAAAAACGATTGTGATACACATTTCAAGTAGGTGATCATCAGGTACGTCAGTCCCACATTTCACTTCAATAGCATCTTGTGGTCAAGTGCCAAATATAGATGACTGAAATATAAATTAAAAAAAACACAGTATTGTATCCATTTATACTGTACAGTTGTCTGTCGAACAAAACACTTTGTCACTGTATCATTTTGTATTGTTAACTGGTATGCAGAGCTATATAGAGAAGAGTTACGACAACGGAAGTCCAAAAACGGTTATCGTCACGTGGTTCATGTAGACGAGGATCGTTCCCCGGAAGTTCATGGCGGGCAATGTGAATGCATTAATAACAGGAGATAGAACTATGATTTTTGGTAATATGTATTGAATAAAGGTTTTGATTTGCAATATCTATACAACAAATCGATGTGTATGTAGTTACATCAGTATTTGAAAAAGTTAAATTTGCTAATATTTGAGGATTAAGATAAAATAAGAAGTACTTTATTGATACCAATTTGGGAAATGTTTGCTTTGCAGCAGCAAAAGACAAGGCATTGTACATAAGACAGTTAAAAGACTAGAATTAAACAATCGAAAATGTAAACATCTCAAATAGAAATAAAATAGCAGAAAATATACATAGTGTGAACAGCTATCTTACCTGTTAACATATACATGGTTAAATAGCCTGTTGTTGTTGTTTATTGCTTTGAATTGTTTAAAACAAATATTATCTTCTTAAACTTGAATGGTAGTCAGGAGCATCACTTCCTAATGTTTGATATATTTAGAGGGAGGGAAGGAAGGTTTCAAAATTCTGATTAGATTCATTTCTACAATTTCTTGAATTCATGGTGGTTTCAGTAATCCCCTGGTAATTGAGGACATAAGTAATCTAAATAAGTAATGTCTTCTTTATGACTTTCAGAAAGGACAGGAGACCGACAGGTGCCTATCAATGATTGTCAACTGACAGTAAATAAATGGAATTCAATAAACATTGCATGCAGTTTGTCTGTGCCTTTTCCTCCGTGTTGTCCTGGCATATAGTCTCCCCCGTGGTTTGCTGTGCTGCCGGGGGATGCTCCAATCGCTCAGAGAAAGGAGTACACATGTAAGGTTTCCCCACTGACACAGAGAGGAGGAAAGAATGGCTGGCTCAAGTCAGCAGGAGCAATTTAACTATCACAAAAGACAACAACAGCAACAACATATGTGAGGTAATCATATTTTTCACAAAACGAAGACCACACCATCGGGAAGCTTAACATCTGTTTAATCAAAAATAAGGAACAGGGAGAGGCTTGCAAAGCTCTGGGAGTTGAGACTCAGGCTCAGGGTCTCATTGCAGGTCTTCAGGCTCCATTGAATCCCCCTGGGGTTCTTGTGCTGAAAGAGGGAGACAGGAGAAAGGGTTAGATACATCTAGCAACCTATAGGATGGGAAATTGCTGACCTATTTTAAACGTACCTTGTGTTTTCACTCTCACTTAAGTCCCTCTCCCTTTGCCATCAATCCAAAATCAGCTGAGCTGCAACATAAAATACAGACAGGTAATAATCAACAGAATCACAAGGACATAATATGACTCTGCTAAAAACACTCAATCAGTTACGTTTTAGTTTACTGTTTAGAAGTCTCAAATATCCACTCTAAATCCAAATAAATAGCGATGTATCACAAAAATAGCTCTCTTCCTTATTATTGTGTAACGTTAACTATATTATACTAGCTTGAACTCCAAGATGGATATCCTGATTTCACCTGGTCACCACCTCCACCCACTACAATCACACGCCCCAATGTTATATTTAACAAATATGTAACTCCCTCCACCCCGGATAAAAGCACGTTAAGAAGCCCCTTTTCTCTAATTCCACAACGTTGGAGGAAATAACATTAGGAGAACGGATTAATAGGCTGTTCGTGGTTAACGTGTGTTGCTAACTTTATCCGGCATTCTGGCCTAATCTGTTATCTGTAAACGTTAAATATACTGATTGAAGGGATAATCCACTAACATCCTTTAATACACATGTGTAGTTAATTTGATTCAGATGTTCTGATAATATCCGCAATATAAATCTTTAAACGTCTTCTTACCTTCAAAAGTCCATCACGAACGGTCTATTATGCTGCAACCATAGACTGCTAGCCGCAGAGCCTCTCAATCTCCGGGGAACGATTGAGAGGCTCCACGATCCGCCATTGCTGTAAAAAACTGGTCCATTGGAGTGAACGGAGATGTCGTAACTCTTCTATTATATGGCTCTGCTGGTATGTATGTATTCTGTTTAGGTTTTCCATTTTGTTATTCAAATAAAGACAGAGTGGGAAAATGGCTGATTCTCTTTTTTATAGTCATAATGTTGCATTTGAAAGTAAGACATTAACATGCGCATGGCTCGGGGTAACAGTGGTTCATCTATTTGACCACTCCTGTCAAGAAATATTTGAGGGATGCCAAAAAATGTCATGGTTCGTAGACGATGGGCCTAAGCCTTGATGAATTTTCTGATTCCTTAACTTTTCCTCTGGCATCACCAGTCATATTGTACTGTGGGTTTTAAGCTAAGAGAGTAGTATAACATTTAGTATACTATACATTATGTAAATGGTATGAATTGTGTGAACACTTCGGTCACCGTCCGATCAAAAGGTACGGCTTTGGTTTATTTAATTGAAAGCTTTTCCATTGGCCCAAGCTAATTAGCACATGTTAGTATGCTAGCCTGCCAAACTTGGTGTGGCTGAAAGTGTTCAACTCTATGGATAAACTGCACCCGACAACACAGAGATACCATTAACTGAAAATAGGGTTTATAAACAATCGCTGTAAAAAATAAATAAACCAACCCCCAGCTCTGCCACAGTCACCAGAATATTAGGTGTTTGCTTGGCTTCTTTTAGCAACCAGCTACAGCAACATCAAACAAACAAATTAATCTGGCTAAAGATAACTAGCTTAAGTTAGCCGAGTTTAACAGAGTAAAGCAGTAACTGCCACTGACTAGTGACGAGGTGATTTGGTGTAGCTAAGTTGCCTTTAAACACACTCGTGAAGGCATTACAACAGTATTTCGGCCAGCATTAAACCTTGTTTATCTTAAATATAGACTGCACACCCTGTTAGCATTGTCATTGTGTTAGCATTTAGCTCAACAAAACCTGTTCCACAGCCTCATAAGGGCTCACTCTTTCTCTTATTTGTTTTTACCAAACATGACATCTGTATGTTTATACTTTTATTCATGTTTTCAATACAGCCAAGAACATGATGACATGTGCCATTTGACACCTGGCAGATGTTGTTTACTCTTTTTACTTCAAGAGTCATTACCATCTAATGTTACGTCCTACAAATAAACACTTAAGGCTATTTGTTGACATGTTTATAGATAGAACAACATGGTTGACAAATTGTCATTTAAAAACTCCTTGAGTACTCTTATAGAGGGTGACTAGAAACAAAGTCACTGAAATGTAAAGAACTTGAAATCTTTGAATAAATTGCTATAGAAATGCAAAACATTGTCCTTAAAAATAAATAATAACACAACTAACAAAAACAAAGGCATGCAAAGTTAATTAGGACCAACTAATCCAGGCTACATGCAGGCATGAGGCTAATCCAGATGTGTTATTTGGCAAGATCACAAGACTGTACAGGAAAGTAGATATTTTTTCATACAATAACAAATATTCAGTAAAAGTGGGGAACACAGATATGTGCTCCATCAATTCACCTCACAACATAGCACAACCAGGAAGTGAATACAACCAGTTCATAGGGGTTTCTATGAAGTCCTCTAGTTTTCTGTGAAATACGATGTGTAGTGTAACAGTGCCAGAGAGGGATCAGGTGTGACGACGTTGACCTCGGAGCGTCTGATTTACGCCACCAATGGACCATCTCCAATACTGTCAGTCAGCTTATCAGCCAATCAATAGCAGCCTCGTGGATTGCAGTCACAGCGTCTATTTTGTCTAAAGCTGCGGTCCTTCGAGTCCACCGAGGAGCGGTCAGATCTCCATCAGCGTGATCTTGTAGGCTTCTGCGTAGCTCTCAATGTTGAGGATGAAGGTGTCTTCGTTGGAGTAATGCTCAATGATGTTATCGTCCATGTTCACCAGGATCCTGACACAAAGCACACTTACAGTTTAATTTCATAGGCTTTAAGGGAGAGCTCAGATGTTTAGAAGTGTTGTTTGAGGTCTTTATCTATAGTCAGTGTATCACTGACAGTTAATGGTCAGTAGCCTGGAGAAACAGAGTTACAGCAGAAGCAGCAATGCACTGCTAGGGATTGAGATTTTATCCACCTACTAGGGGTGGGCCGATCGATCCCAAAATATTGATACTTCCGATATTACGATACGTTTAAAAATATCGATACTAGAGCCAATAGGATCGATACTTTTATACTTTTTCCCCCCCCTCGCCTCTACTCGTCAATTTCATCAAAAACTATGTGCAGAGTGCAGACGAACACAAGTATGCGCTCTTTTCTTCTCTCTCCACTGCTGTCCTCCTCTCCTCGAGGCTCACACACACACACACACACACACACACACACACACACACACACACACACACACACACACACACACACACACACACACACACACACACACACACACACACACACACACACACACACACACACACACACACACGATGGCTGAGAGAAAATACTTGGTATTGGATCGAATCCAGATTGTGTGGTATCGCCCTCCCCTACCACCTACACAATTTTCAAATCATTATATTTGTACGCTTTATTTAGAATATTTTCACCACTTTACCTTTCCTTCAAACTGTCCTTTCCAATGAAACTGAAGATGTTATCTATTCTCTAGTCAAAACTAGCAGACTTGTTTGGGAACAACTTTAATTTTTCCGTCTAAAACACAACAGTTTCTGGTCTACTATTCCCTTTGTCAATTTGTTTGTTTTTGTGTGAGTTTTGTGTTTTACAGGGTTAGTTCACATTCACACACTAAACAAACAAAGTGACCGATTGACACAGAGGCAGACCAGCAACTTCCTGTTCTGCAAGGGAAAATTCATATTATTTTCAAAGGAGTCCGGTGGCTTCAAAGATAATTTATACTTCAGTTCCCCATTGGAAAGGGCTGTCTGACAAAGTACGTGAAATAGTGAAAATATTCTAAATATAGTGTACACTTCAACTAATGTATATTTTTGTAGGTGGTTCAAATACATGTTGCCACTGCACCAGTACATGTATTAGCTTCCATGCAGGAACTCCTGTTTGCTTCTCCAATAATCGGGTGTCGACCACCATCCACTGTCTGTAGTTCACTGGCAATAGATACTCAAACAACCCCACATTAAAACATCAAAACTTTAACATAAGGCTCCAAATTGGCCCAAAATTAGAATCTGTTTCCTCACTCACCCTTTTTTACTTTTCTTGTACACTTTGGCTATCCTCTCTGTGGCCAAGCCGTACTTCTCTGATATCTACAAAAGAAAGATAGAAGCAGTTTTTTATTATGATTCCCTTTGAGATCAATCTCAGATGTAATTAGAGCACCTGCGTCACTCACTGAATCCATCAGGCCTCTGAGCGTGGGAGACTTCAGCATCAGTGCGTCGAACACCTCGTCCGTCTCCTTTCGTACGTACAACAACACTGCAGAGAGAAGAGGAAGAATAAGTATTTGCTGTTAGCTTCAGTATAAGTTTGTTATTTATTTATTACCAGACACATTTAGAGCTTATAAACTACAACAGATAAAGATAAATGGGGATTTTAGACACAGACTGGCTTGTTGACTAAGTTGTCTTTTTATTTTCTAATGTCCTAGTCTAATTGGCCTTGTATAAATAAGTTGCATTTGCATTTCAATGTTCTGTTTATATCGAGCTATTATCTTTGGTAGGAAAGTGCCCGATAAAAAAGTGTATTAATATTATTGTTATCATTATTACAATCACCAATTACAAGACTACAAGGTGACGCAGAAATGCCAACAGTCCAGCATCTCTTTTCCATGGTTTGCTGATTAACTCAGTTTTACATCATTGTATATTTAATATCTTTATATTTGATTGCTGTTAAAGAAAAGTTATTTAAAGATATTACATTGCGTTGTTTTTTGACATTATATATAGACTTATTTTCTTTCCATAAATCATTGAAATAGTCTAAGCTACACTAAGTTAAATATCATTTTGAAAAGGAGATAAGAGAGGGACATGCAGAGGAAGCGGCCGCGCTGTACCTCTCTTGTGTGTCTCCTCTTTGATCTGTTTGTGAGGTGACGGACACCGATCTTCATCTGACGGCCTGAACATCCTCTTCACCAGCACACTCCTGAGGAAAACACCCCAAAAGAAACAAAGAAACATGTGTCAGGTGCCATAAACGTGTGTGTTGTTTGTGTATTTGTGGTGACGTGCACTTCCTCTGTATGCATTTGGTTAGTATCTGTAGCTGCTCTCATTTGCATACTTTATATTTGTATGACTGATGTAAATATAAATGCTCCTGTTGACGCACACTCACCCTTCTCTCTCGATCTCCTCCGTGTTGAAGGTAAACACCTGCAAATGAAGTATTACAGTAAGCATTAATGTACGTTTTAAGCTGCACAAATATAGACATCAGAGTAACATGTTTTATACTGAGTCATTCTGCTAAGACATGCAGTAGTTAGAGAAATACTTAATTAACATAAGTAAAAGTACTAATGCAACAATGTAGAAACACTCCATCACAGGTAAAGGTCCTGTGTTCAACTCTAATTTAAATAAAAGTACAGAAGTACTATCAATATATCTGGACAAAAACATAACTCTGGGATAGATTTATATAAATATATTATTAATATCCTGATGGATTAACGTGTAAGCACAATTTTCTTTACTTTTTCTGTGAAATACTGGCAAATTTACCCTCAAAACTTAATTACTGCTAATTGATAATTGTTCTGAAAATGTTGTATGTCAAGTATTGATGCCTTTACGTAAGTACAGTGTCTGGCTTCTTCAACAATGAGAAAAGGTCAAATTAAGTCCATTCAATCTTTGAATATTAAAACGTCAACCCTTACAGTATTATTTAACAAAGTACTTAAATAAATGAAAGCTAAATATTACAGAATTGCTAATGTGTGCAAAAAATATTGAAGTACCTACATTTTTACATACAACAAAATAATAACATTTAATATATATAAATAATACTTAAAATAAAACTCAATAAACTGCATGATCAGATCAAAATCCCTTTTGTAATATTGCAGTAACCTATTAAATTGTAAATAAAAAATGCCCAAAAGTACATAAGGCAATATTGGATTCACTTTTGTGCTATAAAATGTCATAAATCTAAAATCTATTTGAATGAATTTACACACTGAGGTTTTTTTTTTCTACCATGTGACCCTCTGGGAATGGAAAGCGTCCATTGGGTAATACGGAAACTACGTGTTGGCTCCAGTTTCCCCTTTAGCAGATGAACTCAACTGATAGGAAACAAGTTCTTTCACTTCTGCTCACAGAGAAGAATAATGTGTCTACCTGTCCGGCTCTCTGCAGGTTGCCGAAGTGAACGTCTGGGATGAAGAGAACGGGCTGAGCCTCCAGGTCGCTCATGGTCTTGAAATAAGTCGTGTCGGACTTCTTGGTTGCAGTTATCACACCAACTCCTCCGTCTTTACCTGAACACCAGCAAATCATTTTTAGAAAAGAACAGACAGTATTTTTTCTCAGCAAAAAGAAACCCACACTTTCACACCATGTAGTCACAATTATTATTATTGTTATAAAACAAGACAGGAAGATTCATTAGTTGTGATTCCTTTATACCCCATTTAGAGCAAACTGGATCTATGATTATCTCGAGTTTGGATGCTAAAAGTGCAGAAACAAAATCATTTTTCATGAAACTCTAACCTTTTGACTTCTTGCGGAAGAGTTTCCTCTCCTCGTCCCTTATTTTCCTCTCTGCTCCCTGAAAACAGAATGATGCCAGCATTAAAGAAGAGGAATCAGTTTGTGGAAATGTAGCCCCCTGAAACACTGACAAATAAGCGATCACTATAGTGTTTCAGTTGGACAGAATATATTCTCTGTTCCTATTTTGCATATGTGTGTAAATAAATTGTATTTATATAATCTTTCTTATATATTGTTAACATTTGTATCTTTTATTTTTTTATAACGAGTGCTTTTATTGTCAATGAGTTAACCTGTGTTAGCTTACATAAGACTTGAAAAGGAAAAAAACTGAAAATGAAAAGTCTTAAAGGAAATACAATGCATTAGATGCTGTGTGCATTCCAGGTGTTTCTGGAGGCTCACTGTGCAGGTGAGGCCACTAGAGGGAGGACTGATGTCAGGATTTAGCTCCAGGACTCAAACACACCATCTGAGGTCAAATATACTATATACACCGCAGCAGTCTCACTCTATAGTAAAGATCAACACATCTAGAAGTGAATAAAAGCAAGTGCAGTACATCATCACATTTAAAAAGCTAGAGCCAATACATGTATGTTAATTTAGCATTACAAAAATACTTAAAGGATTTTCAAAACAGTCGCTTATTCATTTTCTTTCAATTGATGACATGTTTCAGCTCTCATCATACTGTATATTCTGTTAGGTCATTCAATTTATGACAATCTAAGCTCTTTACAAGGTGTGTATCCACCATTTTTTGAAGAACCTGTAATCTGTTAAATTGTCAAAGAAATGTAGTGGAATGAAAAGTATAATTATGTTTGAAATATAGTGAAGTAGAGGTACAAAGTGGCATCACAATTCACTGATTACTACTTATCAAATCTCTTTAACGGACATATTTCTAAAAAATTTTCTACCGACAAATCATGAGACTTTTCCAGATAATATCCATATACCAAATGATGAGGAAGTGTTTTCTCACCTTGTCGCAGAACACCTTGATCTGAGAGTAAGCTCTGTGCAGCGGCTTGTTGCTGCGGTTGTTGTAGCTGTACGTGTCGATCTGGATCATCAGAGGAAGACCCTTCACCCCCTTCTGTGAGGAGAAGTCTGTGCTCAGACAGTTCACCGTGATGAAGATCTGCCGGAGGGGGAGAGCGGTGTTACAATAAATAACTTTATTTGTCATGTCAGGTTTTTTTTTGGAGTAATGTTGTCTTTTGTTTGTGCACAATGTAACCCAGCAGAACATCCACAACAACCATAAACGTTCCCACAGAAGCTGGCCCTTCAACACATTGGAAGGGCTATCTATTTGGATATTTCTCTATTTATTTGTGATTATTATTTATTATTAAAACATTGTTCACCCAGAGACCCTTGTTGCATCCTTTAAAGTTTGCTATTCAGATGCTTGATGAATCCATTTTTTCTGCTAAAGACATAGTTTACATTTAAAATATGGACAGTAAGATATTTTTTTAGGTATGCTGTGACTGCTGAGTTTCTAATGTTGTTTGTTGTCATTTTCAAAGAATATAATTTCACCCTGTTGACATTACCTTAAAGTCCCCGCAGATAGAAATCAAAACTGCATGTAACTGCATGGTTGCATAGGACAGTGGATTAGTGAGAAGCTGTTACATAACAGTGTTGATTTCCTGTTTTTATTTAGTTTCCTTTGTATTTCAAACGTAAAAGTTACACTTGTGCAGCAGAGATTTGGTGGCTTGTGCCATTATCCACTTTACACGTTCCCTTTTAACTAACATGTTACCTAATGAAGGCCTTTTGACTGAAAGCTTGACTTGTCATTAAAAACTTAAATAAGAGTTCAAGACACTTCATTCTTCTTTCAAAACTACACACACATAGTAAATAAAAGCAACTGTTAAATGGAAACAAAGAAGCCAAGTACAGAGGTTCATTAATGACACTTAAAACTGTCTAACTAATGTCTAACTTTACCATAAGCTTTTAACTTCAAAATAAACATATAGCACAGAACCTGTTCTTTATATCTTGAGCTTTGGTTTATATTAGTTGTCTAGAGACCATATTATTTGCACCTTACTATAACAAATGTTATCCATCGAGGCGTTCCTTCTTTGTTTATTGCCATCCCTGAAACCCGGATACTCCTATTTACTTTCCAGGTATTTATAACTTATCAAGTTTCCTGCTTTTCCTGAGACATAAAATAGGCGCTTGTTTTATTGATATAAAACACACTGAAACACACACTTCATTGTAAATGACTGTAAACTGATTACCTGAGTTTCGTATACATTAATAATGATTTGAATGTCTTTCTAACTTACAGTAGAAGCATGCACACCAGACTACCTGGGCATTACACCTGTTCCTGTGGTGCGACAGATATATTCGGGCTTGTCCCACAGATTAAGAGAGAGAGAGGGATAGAGTAAAAGAGAGAGAAAGAGTCAATATTGGCCCAGAGCGGTGTGCTTGGATTTCCACCTGCAACGTCTTTGTCCAATACAATGAATGAGAATGAGACGCACCCACACACACACACACACACACACACACACACACACACACACACACACACACACACACACACACACACACACACACACCACACACACACACACACACACACACACACACACACACACACACACACACACACACACACACACACACACACACACACACACACACACACACACACACACACACACACCACACACACACACACACACACACACACACACACACACACACACACACACACACACACACACACACACTCGCATTCACACAGAAATGAGGGCAAAACAAACAACAGAGGGTGGGGACAGGGATCGGTGTGTGTGTGTAGGCCCTTGGGGGCCTCTGGAGTTAAACAGTGATGGAGCTCCATTTAAGGTGTGGCCACAAAGGAGTGGGCTTCACAAAGACAAAGAAGACAAACAGAGCAGAAAGTACACAACACTGCCCGTCAGCTTTATGAGGGACACAGAGAACATGCCGGTCAAAGCAAAGGAGCTGCTTTAGGCTTTTAATGCTTGTATCATAGCAACATGTTGATTCTTAAATAGATAATAAGTGTTTTTGCTGCTTGAATCGCAGGTAATTTGTCGAGCGAGTGCGTTTGTTTGCCAACAACTGAATCAGCACAAAAGACCTGTCCCGCTGCTTTTTCTTAACAACACGCCTACGTCATGAGTCAAAATAGTAGAACCGTTTGTAGGAAAATTAATGTGACATTTATGTACCGCAAAAAAAAAGAAAGAAGGAAAAACGTTAGGCTTTGTACCTTGGCCTCTTCATTCACATCCCAGGTGAAGGAGATGGCGTTGTAGGCAATTTCTTCGATGTTGCCAATGGTGTTGAAGCTCTCCTTGTAATCAGCTGCAAACACAAACAGAGGGGTGGTTTATTTCAGATGTATCTTCTGCTTTTAAAATACTTCAAGTTTACATTAACTCAAGTTTATCTTTGCCGATATCTGCTGTTTTAAAAACCCTGAGAAATCTGAGAAAACCCTCCACACACAGCACACATTGATCAATAAATCCACAAGCAGGCAGCTATTGTTTGTTAAGATAAGTAATCAAATGGCACGCTTCGATTTTATAAGATAACATCTTATCTGCTTGAGCAAACAAACTCTAAAAGGCTTCAAAGGCAGCGGGAGGGAACACATGAGGCGATCTGGCTCACAGACTCATATTAAAAGCCAGTCAAGTGAGCGCATCGCCGGCTATTGATGACCTGAGCGACCGCACACTTAAGGGGCTTTAAATGAGTGTTGTAGAGTACACTGGAATGCTGTGGGAAAGACTCAGATGTATAAAGAAATGAACTACTATGTAAGTGTGAACTGTATAGAAAGATGAGCTTATTGTGGGTCCTGGTCTTTTAATTGGATTAGGTTTTAGTTATGATCAAATCTGACTGGATGAGATACAGTCGCCTGTTTTTGAAATATTTTACTTTAGGTCATCTTTAAATACATTAATAAGATCCCCCCCCCTTTGCTTCAGGGACATCCGACCTCCTCCATCATCCTAACGGCAAACTGGATCTTCAGCAGGTGCACAAAGCAGCAGGGCAGGCCCAAATCTGGCAGAATCCCCCGTTAAATAACCCCATTCAAACGATCCATTCTGTGACGTGGCCCAGGGGCATGATAACCTGGCCACCCACCCCCCCTCACTATTCAAATTAGCTCACGGGACAGCTTCAGGTTACAGGACGCTCTGAGGAGCAGGGTGGAGGGGTCTGTCATCTGACCTACTGAGATTCCCCACTTTGATGCACAGTCCGGCACTCGAGTATACAAATAAAGGCTGCAACGATCAGTCAATTAATCAATTCCTTATTCTTAAATAAAAAAGTAATTGGCAAGATTAGAGTATTTAAGGATTTTAAAGAAAAGATAAAAACATTCCAGCAGCTCAAAAGTATTATTAATATTGTCAAATGATTTAGTCTTAAAGGATATTACATTGAATACTTCTGTGTAAATTGTGGGACTTGTTCACTTATATTACAGTATGTGCACCAAACCAGTTATTTGATTAACTGAAACATAGTTAATGGATTCATTAAGAATGACAATGATCATATAAATGATGAATAAACTGTAAAATAGCACTCAGTAGTCTTTCTCTCCTCCAACAAAGAAGAGTTGAATCTCCCTCAATTTTCCCTTCAGTATCCCTTACAGTCAAGATGCGATGAAGATAACAAAAACATGGATTTATTAATCTCTTATCGTGTCTTACTAAGAGAATCATAACATAACGGGTAGGGTATAAGTCTGCACCTGCTCCAGTTCAAAATAAGACCAAACTTTTATGTGAAAGTCAGATTTTGAGCCATGACAATGGTCCAAATGTGGCCTGTAAGGGTTTTCTTAGCCTATTACCAGAAACCCCTTTTGCACTAAAGCAGTTGTTGACCACTTTCCGCCCCTATTGCATGGTGAAGAGGAGTGATGAGTCAGCAGTCATTGCCAGTGTAGGAGCCAATTAACTGTGGGTATAAAGGTAGGAACCTATGTGTGTTGGGAAGAGGTTCCGCCGGAAGGCCCATACAGTTTTTGACCACACACGGAGAACACACACAGAGAGCACTAGTAGGCAAACGGTTTTTTACTTTGTCGCGGCCAAAATCATATAGAACTAAAACAGATAGTTAACTTAACAGCCGCTGAGGCACTAGTTAGCGGATCTTGCGCAGGGTGTTTCAAGCTACACAAGGGAAAGCCATAGGAAAGGCTTAAGGAAAGAGATATAGGAAACCTATTCATTTTATTTTGTTATAGGAATAAAATGCACAACGGAGAATCTTGTCTGGACCTGGATCATTGCCCTGCGTAAGATCCGCTAACTAGTGCCTCAGCGGCTGTTAAGTTAACTATCTGTTTTAGTTCTATATGATTTTGGCCGCTACAGCCAGCATGAAGCAATCAATAAAGAATACAAAAGTAAGAAATAGTATTTGAAGTAGGTATTTTAAGCATGTTAAGTTGTTTTACAGTGTTTGCGATCCGTTTTGGGTAACTATGTGTTTATACATGCTGCAGGCCATGTGTGCGTATCTATTAGCAGATAGGTATCTGTGTGTACATGTCTGTGTCACTGTGACGGAAAACTACTTCAGCCCTGTGAGTCGAGCTGTAGCTGCACACTATCTGTCTAGGGCTCACACTCACACACACAAACAAACAAACAAACGCAGACTCATTACACTGGCAAATGCCAAACAGATTGCCTAAGGGAATCTTGCAGGAAAAGATAACACATTTCCTCTGAACAAGATCTACTGGCAGCTTTAAAAAAGGTTTTATCTTCAAATCATATTAAATTCTGAGGTGCTTTTCAGCAGCAAAACAACAGAGAGTCATCTCGCAGTTACTATACGTAGTTTTATTTTAAAATGTGATGTATACATAGGTTTACAATGGTTTAGGACACGGTTCCCAAACTCTTTGACTTAAAGGAATAGTATACTATTCTCACATCTCAAAATCTGTCACTAGCAGCATCTCTAAAGCTCACAAATGTACACAGTATATGTTGTTTGTTTAATTTGTACTGAGAACAAAATGTTAAAATGTCCATTTATGATTATATAAAGGACTTTTTCTGGTTAATGTGCTAATGATGCCATTCCCTTTACTACAAAGCATTGTCTGTTTGTGACCCAAGTCAAATGATGTACGTCTATCAAAGAGACTGTGTCCTTCTCAGTAAAAGATTTACTTTAATATTTTGAGAAAAGTCCAAATATTATTTTGTTTAATTGAATTTTGTATTTTTCCTACAACCATCTCACAACAGCTTAAATCTGTATCACGACGCCCAAGTCTGAATCAACATTTACTAGCAGATGTAAAGATATGTGTATTGTAAGATGATTAGGATTTGTCTTGGTTCACATAAATAGAGGAATTAAGATGAAGACATCAATTGGGCAAGAATTGCTTTCAACAGACCAAAACCAGCCGAGGTAACAGTGCGGCTAGCATTCCTCTCCCTGTCCCAACAAGATGTGTATAGGTGTGTGTGTGTGTATAGGTGTGTGTGTGTGTGTAGGTGTGTGTGGTGTGTGTGTGTGTGTGTGTGTGTGTGTGTGTGTGTGTGTGTGTGTGTGTGTCCCAGCTTCCCACATACCTCTGAACCCCTGCCTGGTTAGCAGGCCCGAGCTTGTTAAACAAATTCTACCTGCAAGCTTCTCACACACACTCATTCAACAAGGCATGAAACTGCATATTAAAACCCATCAACTGCGAAAAAAACTGCGGCAGACAAAAGTAAAATAAAATACGAGCGATGGGATCAACAACTTACACTCGTGGGAAGCTTGCAGAAAGAGAAAGTTTGTCACATTGTTTTGGATTGATGACTTTTTGCTCCTACACATTAAGAGATTCAGAGTGTGTGTTAGTGTGTGTTAGTGGGCAGCTGAGCAGCCTCAGACCCCATTTTCACGCAAACGCAAACGAAACGCACAAACCGAATACGATATCAAAAAGTCTTCCGTTCACACGAGACCGCTCGGGAGCGCTGGAGACGCTGTAGTACATATGCCGGGCTTGTAAGTGGCGCTGTAATTCCGCCACAAAATACACCAAAAGCAGCGAAGAAGACCCCCGAGCATGGTTGCCATGGGTGCCCTTCTGTTTATGCCCCGCGGTGGATTTAGCAACATGTAATTCTCCATGTCCACTTGTTGCTGATGGTTGTGGTAGAGGAGCTGTATATTTTGCACTAACATCTGTAGCATGGTCAGTAGCAGTAGCTACTGCTACTGTAGTGAGCAGCAGAGGTGGGGAGAGGTGGGGCTATGGCTTCATCGTTATCAGGAAATGATCGCATAGGGCGTACACACGGAGCAGTTTGGCTCCCAGAGCGTTCTGTTTGCAGATCTATCCACTTTGGGACCCGTTATCGTTTGCGGGGTCCGTTTCCGGGTTTCCGTTACGGCCTCGTGTGAACGAACGGGCTATACGAAAGAGAAAAGTAGCGGATACAACCGTTTGTGTTCTCGTGTAAACAGCACCTCAGGCAGACAGTTGGGTGGGGGCTTGTTTGCTCTTAGTTTGGTCATGCCTTGTTTATTGGCTGAGTGCATTCCAGCACTGGCCTTAAGGTGAATCTGTTATTGTCTTTCGGTTTATGTGTTTTGATTAATTCAACAAATGGAGAAAGTTTTGAAGAAAGCAGGAGGAAATTGAGCATTACATGAACAAGAGTGATACCACTATCATGTCTCTCTCGTGCAGTAAATACAAAGCAACAGCCAGGAGACTTGTGTTAGCTTAGCTTAACATAACGACTGCAAACAGAGTCAACCTGCTAGTCTGGCTATGTCCAATGTTCACAAATCTGTCTTACCGATGTCTAAGACTCTCTGTTTGGCTGTGTGCTGGCGGGAGTGCCAGTACTTCCAGTACTTCAGCTGCTCGTCTCGGTTCTTGTCTTCACTGAACACCACCATGATCACACTCTGAGAAGAGAAAAACAAATAAATGATGGTCAAGTCTTTGATGATTCAACTAAGCCAGTGTCTCTACATTATTACACAAAAGATAGCTTAGAGAAGCTCTGAAAAGCATGCATATTGAGGTTTCGTCACTTTAGGTAGACTATGCGTTTTTTTAAGTGTTTTTTGTGGGTGAAATATAAACTACAGCTAAATCAATTAAACTGGGATCACTTTTTGGCAGGAACCCTCACCCGAACTTTGCTGATTGGGTGACGGAGGCGTTTGTTGGCACTGAGCTCGTTAAGCGTCACGGCGTAGAACTGGCCTTTGTTCAGGTAGGTCATCGGTCCCTCGCCCTGCTTCTGACGCAGAGAGCGGGTGGCGTCCAATGTGTACTGGAAGCTGTCACTGCACCACACATAGTAGTTGATTAGACAATGTGGGAGGGGGGTGCAACACACACTTTTGCATTCCTTTGTGGATCACAATATGTTTGTATACTGAATGACTTACACTCCCTCCTCATGAAATATGAAGCCATCTGGGGCCAGAGAGGAAGGTGCGTGGTACTTCTGTTGAGAACGCTTAAAACACACGGAAAGAGGAAATCATTGAAGTTATTTTAGCCTGAGAGGAACTGGTTAAACAATGCTTTAAAACAATATTGTCATAAATAATAAAGACATGGAGATTTCAGGCAAACAGTGAAAACATTCAATAAGTAAATTTCTGTTGAGGTAATTAACTTTTGAATTATCAATGAATAATATTTAAACATCTATCCATCTTTGCGTACCTTTAAAAAAAAGAACTCCAGCATTGCATGTACATTTAATGTTCCCATCCTCTCTCTTGTTATAATAATTGTGCCTCACTACATTTCCCATATTGTCTTTTAACAACCCCTAGAGTTTGCCTGATAATTTATTTCACTGTAATTTACCAATTTACGAATTTACAAACCAACGAAATTAGACCCAGTAATACAATACATACAATGTTATGTTGTTATGTTTACTGTCTTTTTGGGCCTGTTTCCCCTAAACGTGTTGGCTTTCATCCTGCTAAAAGAAGCATTAAATATGTATTAAAGTTGTACATTGAAAAAAAGTAATTTAAAATAGCGTCGTTAAGGGTCAACCGGTCGAGTATTTAACAAAAAAAGAGGAATTATTAAAGAAAATTCTGAAAAATAAACGTAATTACTTCAGGTGAAATTATTAATGTAATTTATTGTTTTTAATTTCCAATTTGGATTGAATTATCTCATGACCGCACCAGACTGGAAAGCACTGTTTAAGTATGATGTTTTCTTTATTCTGTCATCACACAGTATGTATTCAGACTCTCACCATGTCTCTCTCCTCCTCGTACGGGCTGTCGGGCGGACTCTGCTGGTCTTCCTTCACATACGAGCTGTGGCTGACCGTGGTCACCTCGTAGGGATTCTGTTCGTAGATCACCCTTGACGACAGCTCCTCTCCCTCCCCCCTGTAGTGAAGCCCCGCCCCCGTCATGAAGACGGGCGCGTACACCTCGGCCTTCACGTGGGCCAGCGCCGGCGAACCTCCGTCCGCCGACACGGCCTCGCTGGAGCTGCTGTAGTGCTCCCGTTTGCTCTCCTGGTGCTCCGTGTTCAGGGACAGGTTGACGGGGACAGATTTGAGGACTTGAACACGGTTGTCCACCATCTCCGTCTCACTTTGGCTGCCGGGGTTGCTTGGCAATACAGACCTGAACAAAAACATGAAATTGTGTTTTTACTCTTTTCATTACTTTTGACTCCTACTGAATGACTGCACTGTATTGTGTGCTTTAATAGAAATTGGAGGATATAGGACATTAAAAGTTCCTACACCATCCAATGATATAGGAAAAAAAACACTACATTTGGTAAATTTCCACTATCAGAATAATCCTGAATATCCTTGTCTGCTTTAAAAAGTTGTCTAGCTTTACTAGAGTAAAAACTGTCAACATGTTTGTCAGGTCTCAAAGATTAGTTTGTGAGTAACACTGTACCTACATATCACTTTATTGTATTTACAAGAAACCTCCGCAGGACACCTGTAATAAGTGTGTCTGAATATATTAACCTGTTTTATTGCTTTAAAAAAACAAAACAAAAGATTCCATGTTCTTCTATTCAGAAAAAGAGAGACCTGGAGTTACCATTCTTGTAGATAAATGTTACAAAAGCAGAGACACATTAAATCATGAAATCTTTGGATCTTCTTTTTTTTTTACAGGGAACAGGACGTTTTCACTGGCCTCAATCTATCCTGTGCTGCTGTCCCAGTGCTTCAAGTGAAACAATGGGTGATCTTTGCACACATGCCTGCTAAAAGTGCTTTTCTCATATAACTATTGTGTTATGGAAATTGTGTGTTTATTCTTCATACAAGTGAAAGCCTTCCATTTCACTGCTCCATATGTAATATCATTTACTACGGGTGCACCATGTCAAATACTACAATCAATGAGCTCCAGGGTTTAATTCCATACATTGCTGGGAAAGGCTAGCAACTACATGTTTGACATTTCTTTTCTCTCCGTCTGTTCATGTACAACATTGAACCAGTCACGGAGAGACACAAATTCACTGACCTCCTCTCATGTTCCTCTGTAATTTCCACGACTTTGGACACTGGCAGAATTCTCTTTTCTTTAGGCACCTGGGAGGAAGAACAAAGAGTGGTGTTATGTTGGCCTTCAAACTGTACCTGACATTTTTCTTTGATAGAATGGGATGCTATGACTTGAAACTGCCTAAAATAGCTCCTGCCTGTTTACTACAGTACTCTCCACAACTTTTCTTTTTAGAAAAATGGTTAAATAATAATCAGTGTGTTTTGAAATAATTGATTTGTTCGACAAATATAATGATGTGAACCATTATGTCAGTGTAGCTTAAAAATCTTTGATTCCCAAAAAGTATGCTATTGAATTCAAATGAATATGATATTTATTCATTTTTTCAAGTTATTTTTCCCTCTGATGGAACAAGAATAAGCACAGCTGACATTTTTTAGTTGCGACTTATTTTACAAAGTCCTCAAGGTGTATGGTTGAACCTGGGAGAAAGACACTATGCAATCCATTTAGGCACTTAAACAAACTCTTACTTAAAAGTCAAGTAAATCTCAAAACATGCTTTACTCAACCTTTTTTTATTTTTTGCATCTTTAGAAACATTTTCTCTATAAACATGAGGTGACGTCTTCCACATTTCTGTCTGACCTCCTCTCCAACATACCAACAAATATGCAGTTTATCATCATACAAGACAAAGAAAAGCATGAAGCCCTCCCCACCTTGTAGTATTCGTAGAGCAGGCTCAGGGCGTTGGCGCTGTCTTCGTCCCCGTTGATGCTCATCATGGCCTTGGTGGCGGCCGTCAGCGGGTTCTCCAGGTACGACCGCCATGCCTCGTCCTCGCTGGTGTACGCCCGCCGCACCGCGGGGTAAGAGTTCTCGTTGGGGACCACCACCACCAGACGTTTACTGGTGGACACATTTCAAATGGACACAAATTAAATTGCAGGTTCATTCATTCATTTAATTTCCAAACTCAAACTCGTTGTTGGATAGGCATATTTGTTGGTACTGAGAGGCCTTCAGACTCGGCATGAATAGTGGACCAACAATTCCTGATAAATTGATCAAACAAACTTGTCTTTAACTTATAGTACATTATACCAAAGCCTAAAGTTACCTTGAATCTATCTGATTGACACAAGTCCTCTGCATCAAGGCCAATAAAGTCATGTTCCTTCAACCTTTTGTACTTGTAGCTTATCTCGCCTAGAAAAGCTCTGCCTGAGAGTTTGTTTATTAATAAGACAAACATATGAGTGTGCTGAGTCTCTTTTTCAATCATTTTCATCGTCTTATATAAAAGGTAAGCTGTAGTTTTTTCTTTATTTTTGCACCATCAAAATGCTAATGCTTGCTTGCTTTCAAATACTGGTAATAAGGTTTTATTTCTTGCTGGTTAAGACTATTCTAAAGTTCAAACTTTCAGATCAGTTACTTTTTTTTGGGTATTCTTAATATCAAATAAGAAATTGAAAAATAATGAAAAATTCATATATAGTAGCCAGTGTTGTGTGTTTGTCTCTCCACTCTAGGCCCTCTTAAGTCAAGATCACAGACCAGTTAAACACACATTGTTGTCACAACATCACTGTGAACGCAGCCAATCACAGGAGAGCCTCTGAATGTGTCAACTTGCACTTGTTGTGCAGTGAACAGTATCAGTATAATGTCACACCTTCAGCAAGAGTCCTGGAAGTATGATGCAGTAGCTTCACAATAATTTAGTTTTTGTTCATTTGTTTGTGCTAAAATCAAACTAAGATCAACAGAAAATATTAATCAGGAATACTATACTGTGAAGTATGCTGTACAATATTGGAAATGAATTCACAACATGAAACAACTAGGCGTATTATAGGCCTATATTGTGGTTGTCTAATTGGTATTAACTCCTGTCTGCCAGATATACCTGCCAAATAAAACATGTACCACGTCTTTATTATCTGATGTCAGTATAACGAATACCGATAAAGCAAAAAGAGTAATGGTAGAAAACAAATAGGCATCAGTATGAAGCTGTTCCCCCATTACTTTCTCATATTATCACAGGTATAAATGACTATGTCTTGTTGACTTCTCCATGGCAGGTAGAGAGCTGACATGCAGGTATAAAAAGACCAAAGACATATGCCGGACTGATGTTTAGGATTTCAACAACTCTACTCAGGTGAATCTGACTTAATATAACACCTGTGGGTCATAATAGTGGCACTTGTTGTCACTGCATTGCTGATGCAGGATGCATGAAGCAGCATCACTGCAGTCACACTAAGAGACATAGTTGTTTAAAAATACACAATGAATGCTTATTATCACATTAAAGCATTATCTTAGGAACAAGTGCTCTATTCAAACAATGATATAGTCATAATCACTCACTTGGATTATCATCAATACAGATATGAATTAGTAGTTAGCAATGTGAAGCTAAATAATAGATGCAAAATGAAACGTTCAGACCCTCCATAAGATTTTGAGATTTCTGTGAGCCAAGGCCTCTGCTATTTCAGAAATAAGTGTAATAAATCATTCAAAAGCACAGACCCTCTTTAAAATAGTAGGTAAACGGTTTTCCTTATTTTTTTTACTTGTCTGAATACAGTTGAACAGTTGTATTTTCTCCTTAATTTGTATAGCTTCTGGGGTTAGAGAACAATACATAGGCCCACAGGCAACACACACTGTCCGCATTCACAAGTAGATCCATTGCGCACTGTAGGCCTCAACATATACAAAATGTATTTCAAAAGCAGAGCTAAAACTCTTATTATCAGTCAAAGACATCATCGTGAAATAAAAATAAATGTCTTTCAGTTTGAGGGTTTTCCCCCCATCAGTCAAAAATGGCGAATTCAGCTCTTATGAAATCCACGGCACCAAGTTGACTTTTTTTCTCAAAGCAAAATATTCATAAATATCCGACAGTAATACAAACAGAACGTGACATTCTTGATATCCTATGATACAAAAGTCAAATCCAAATTTTTAACAAAATAGTGTTAATTTAATTAGCGAGTAAAAATAAAACGTTAGAGGGAACCAACAAACATCCTCTCCGCGTGCTCGATCACTTACTTGTCTGTCTCCTGTGACATATTTAGCTTCCTCTACGATTCTTCCTTGTGAAACTGGACTTTCAAGTCGGAGCAGGTAATAGAGTGTGTGAGTTGCCAGAAGTTGGGCTACAGGTAAGTCGACTTTTCTCGCCCCGCTTCTTTCCCTCCCTCTCCCTCTCTCCACCTGGCAGGTACGAGAGCCGCTTTTGTCCGCAAACAGCCAATCACCCTGTCTTGTGTTCACTTAGTACGCATATTATGACAAATATCCACACATCCTGCTGCCATGAATTATAATATTTGCCTAGGCTTGCTTTAATGGCAGCGGGGCAGCTTTAGCAGAAATTCTTTCACTGTGAAAAAGAGTTGAAGTTGAGGGCGAGTCTGACGCTGATTGGCCGGTGCAGATTGAGCCGGGCTCTGATTGGCCAGTGAGTCAGGTAGAGGCCCACCTCACCTGCAAGCAAACTAAAAGCGTGCATTGAAAGCCCCAAAATGACACAGAAAACGTGGAAACACGGGCAGCTATTTAGGTTTAACGCTCTAAATGAAGTTATTTGCCATAGGTTTTATTTGTTCTAGAACATTTTTTATTTATAAAACAACAGGGATAAAGTCTGTGGGGAGGGTATCCACATATTGGCCCCAGACACACAACCACATCACGTCCACTGATTTAACCTTTTTGCACCCCCCTCTGAATGTTCATATTGACTTGTGTGTGAGTGTCTGTGTTTGAGCTGATCTCAGAGCAGACAGGAGCCCTGTCATTAGTTGACACAATGCCATTGTCCCCTTAATGAAGCCATTTTATGAGAAGATCCAAGAGTTTGGGATTCATCTGCCAGAGCAAAATGTGTGTGTGTGTGTGTGTGTGTGTGTGTGTGTGTGCGCACGTGTGTGTGTGTACATACGAAGTCAATTTTTTGTTGTTTTAGTAAGTGTTTTATAGATGCAGGAAGATAAAAGACAGTATTAATCTTAATGGGAGATTCTAGTGTAACAGCAGTCGTGTCACACTTAACCAAATACATTTGTGTATTGGGTATTGGTAAAGACACTTTAAATGGTAGATGGTAGAAATAAAATCATGAAATATATGATCTTTAAACGTAATTAATGGGTAATAATAAACTGAAAATGTACTGATTTTATCGCTCTAAATAACCAAAGTACAACTACATCTTCCAACATCATTTTACTCATGATACAGCTATCAAAACTCTCAGATCTTCTTTCACCACTTCTGCAGGGGTTACTTTAAAAACATGCAGAAAAGATAAACTCCCAAGATGGATCTTCAGAAATGGTTGGGATGCAATTTCTAAACTGGTTTTATGTCCTGAAGGTGCATGACAAAATATGGGCCTTTGGTTATGAATGCTTTCAGGCACTCTTTTATGGAAATCACAAAATGTCGTTTTAGATTCAGTTACACCGTGTGTGTGTGTGTGTGTGTGTGTGTGTGTGTGTAGGGCAAGCATTTGTTTGTGCAGAACTGTAAATGATATCCTCCCTTGTCCAATTTGTTTCACAGAGCACTTGAGCCTCAGCTCTCTGTGTATGTGTTTGAATGGAACTGCTAGATAAATACAGGTGGGGTCCGTTTCTTACAACAACACACAGACAGAGAGACGATCAACAGAGGAAGTGACAGGATAAAAACACATTTAAATTAGGAGAGAAAAATATGGATGTTTCCAAGCACTATCAATCTTTACTAACACTTGCTCTCATGAACATAGATGCATAACGTGGTGGGCAAACTGAGCTCAAGCCCACTGAGCAAAATCTTTTTTTAATTTCTTGTTAACCCTGTAAAGCCCAAAAATAGAAAAACATTAGAATTAATTTTTTTGACCTTTCAGATGTTGTTGTAGGGAGCACCTGGAGCAGAAATGAAAGAGTTTTCAAATGTTTTACGTTTTGGTAAGTTTTTTGCGAAATGTTGTAATATTGCAACGTTGGGCTTAGGTGGGAGCAGCATTCCTGTATTTCTACTCACATTGTCTGAATAAATATATTGAACAACTAAGGGTTGATTTGCAGGATTGATTGCTTACTTAGCCCTATATCAGTATATAGCATGAATAATAATCACACATCAGTCATATTTTTTATGAATAGTTATTTATAAAATATGAATATGGAGTCCAAAAAACAGTTCATGTCGTCAGAAAAGCACAGACGGACGTCACACTTGGTGCATTGGGTGTTTGTGTACCCTTTACTGCAGTGTCTACAGCGTCCTCTCTTGGTCTTCCCTGGAAAATGTGCCACTAGGTCCTTGCTACATCCAGTGGAGGTTGTGATCTCTGGGATGGGGCCCCGTTTGGTGGACTCCCATCACCTGAGGATTGTCTCTTCTGAGCATTCAACTGGCTCCTTGATGTCACTGTCGCTGCTGGGCTCCCGTTGCCTGAAGATGTTCGTCCTCTCTTTGGTGTTTTCATGGGAGTTGTGTTCACCTGATAAGAACACAAATACATTAAGATACAAGTCAAAACTATTACAGTGAAATATAAAAAAAATATTACAAACGGCAAATAGCAGAAATGCATTCTTACCAGGATGAGAGAGGATGCTAGATCTGCCTGAAACTGTCTCCTGTTCAGGATCTCCTGCTTTGCCATCTTTAGAGCGCTGCAGTCCCGCTTGTATGATGATGGTGTGTCAGAAGATGTACACGTACCAGCGTCGGGACTTCATGGGGAACTTATATTTGGCCATAAACGAGTCCAACAAATCCACACCTCCCATGTACTTGTTGTACGTAGCCACAATGGAAGGCCTCTCAACTTCTACGTAGGTTTTGTTGGCTTTGTCCCAGCGTTGAATGTTCTGCACAGGCTGTGGTCCAGCAAAGGATGAGACAAGTGTGACCGCTCTGCTGTCATATCATTTGACAGCAGATGTTGTGGTTGGTCTCCACTCGGATGTCAAAGCTTCCTCTCCCTTTTTTCTTCAAGCTCTTCTCCTCTTCAAGGTTGCAGTTGGGTAAGCGCACCTGCCTGGCTGTTCCCACATAATGAATCCCGTGATCAAGGGGCTTCACTACCAATGGGACACAGGTGAAGAGTTGTCTGCGTAGATCTTATAGTTCTGACCTACTGGAAGCATGGAGGCAAGCTTCATCACAACATCACCCGACAATCCAAGTTCAGACTTGGCTCGTATCCCATTGACACTGCCTTGGTACCAGAGTTGGGTGTAACGCGTTACTGTAATAATATTACTTTTGACGCTAACAGAGTAGTGTAACACGCTACTTTTATAATTCAGTAATCACACTACAGTTACTAACATTGCCCCGACACGCGTTACTTCGTTACTTACTAAAATCAGTCATAATCACACTGACAGACAAGAGGGGTTTCCGCCGCAGGTTTATATATGTACGTAGTCTGCGCGATTTGCGCGTCCACATCTCCACGTGCAGTGGATAAACATGGCTGAGTCAGCGATAACTTTCGAGGGGTGGAGGTATGCCCATTATTTTGAGTTCGTCCGAAGAATAGACAGGAATGTGACGGTGAGGTGCAAACTACACTGAACAAAAATATAAACGCAACACTTTTGTTTTTGCTCCCATTTTTCATGAGATGAACTCAAAGATCTAAAACATTTTCTATATACACAAAATAACCATTTCTCTCAAATATTGTTCACAAATCTGAAAAATCTGTGATAGTGAACACTTCTCCTTTGCCGAGATAATCCATCCCACCTCACAGGTGTGGCATATCAAGATGTTGATTAGACAGCATGATTATTGCACAGGTGTGCCTTAGGCTGGCCACAATAAAAGGCCACTCTGAAACGTGCATTTTTGCTTTATTGGGGGGGGTCTGGGGGGGTCCAAAAACCAGTCAGTATCTGGTGTGAGGGGTAGGGGTAGGGTTAGGGTAATGTTGTGAATTGAGTGGCCCATGGTGGTGGTGGGGTTATGGTATGGGCAGGCGTATGTTATGGACGACGAACACAGGCCACTCGATTCACAACATTACCCTAACCCTAACCCTACCCCTCACACCAGATACTGACTGGTTTTCGGACCGCCCCCCCATCTTGATATGCCACACCTGTGAGGTGGGATGGATTATCTCTGCAAAGGAGAAGTGCTCACTATCACAGATTTTTTTCAGATTTGTGAACAATATTTGAGATAAATGGTTATTTTGTGTATATAGAAAATGTTTTAGATCTTTGAGTTCATCTCATGAAAAATGGGAGCAAAAACAAAAGTGTTGCGTTTATATTTTTGTTCAGTGTATGTCCAGGCCAGAAGCTGTTATCCACTGCTGTAAACACCACGTCAAACCTCAACAAACACCTGCAAAGAACACATGCTAAGGTAAAGCTAATAGCTAAGGACCTCCGAACCCAGAGTGAGGATGTTGTGAGTGCACCGCCGCCGACCCCGAAGCAACACAAATTAGAATTCGGAGGACCGGTAACCAAAGCAGAGATGGACAGGCTTGTAGCATCCTTCATAGTAGAGGAAATGTTGCCCATTTGCACAGTGGAATCACCATCGTTCAGACATATACTGCGCAAAATACAGATAGCAGGAGACAGAGGACAGCCATGGTCAGATAGGAAAACATTCAGGAGCTATCTGGATCAGTCTTATGCGACAATGGAAACTAAACTAAAGAGAACATTTGAAACTTTAGCAGTCTGCGTGATCTGCCGGAGGGGCGGGCCGGCCCTGCGAGTAAAGTAACGAGTAAAGTAACGAGTAAGTGTAATATATTACTTTTTTTTTAAAAAGTCATATGTAACATATTACTTTTTTTAAAGTAATATGTAATATATTACTTTTTTTTTTTTTAGTAACGACCCCATCTCTGCTTGGTACACATCAAAGTCACAGATCATTCCAGAGATTCTGTCTGGCTTAGCCTATTATCATACTAAAAGGAATGCATGCACCACCCCCTTCCAGGTGTCCCGATGCAACAAGCATCTGAATCCTATTTACATTGTACACTTGAGTCACACAATACTACCTGGCCTAGCCTATTATCATAATAAAAGGAATACCTACACCCATACATGCAGGTAAACCAGTTCAACAAGTCACACAATGCTGTCTGGCTCATGATAATAGGCTAATTATCATACTAAAAGAGATACATTCAAGTGTCCCAACACATTTCAGAAAGAACTGTTTCTGCCAGAACCAGAGAAGAGTTCAATGAATTGTTGTAACTAATTAACTGATAAGATACAAGTAGAGTTTAAAATATTGCTAGATATAATTTCACATACTTTTATCAGAAATAATGTATTAATTTATTCAATTCTGGTCTTAATTCAAAATCGTAACAGAGGACACATTTAGAACTTAGTTATAGTGAATTATCAAAGACATTATATTTATATTTGTGTTTTATTTCCATATGTGAACATATAAGAAGGGCAATCTCCATGATAAGTGCTCATGCTATTTTGACTACCACACTGACCCATTGTTGTAATATTACAACAAAGACATAAGCTGCTCAAAATCAAATTTGATGAAAGTATTCCACAATAACTAAATATGTACATGTTCTAGACATTGTAATAATCACACAACTTTTTTTTTGAGGCATTTGACTTACTTGAATCTGACAAATCCAGTCCAATAAAACAAAGAGATGTTGCTCGTTTGAAGATTCTGAAGTTTTGTGAGTGTATGGCCAGAGGGCAGGACATATAAACACATGTACTACCCAATAGCATTGTGAGGCTGAACAAAAGGACCTATTGACTATGTAAATGTAGTCTAAAAAAACAAAAAAATTTACTGACTTTTTTAGGATAGCTTAAAGCAATGTTGGGGAGGCTGTAGCTCAGTGGACAGTGTGCTGGACTTCGAATCAGGGGATAGCAAGTTCGAGTCCCACTGCATGTTGTTGTGTCCCTGGGCAAGACACTTCACCCCAAATTGCTCCTGCAGGATTGCCCACAGTACTGAATGTAAGTCGCTTTGGATAAAAGCGTCAAACAAATGACATTTAATGTAATGTTGTAAAATTACAACCGTGGGCCTTACAGAGTTAAGTCCAACAAATGACTACACAAAGATGCAAAACAACTACAAAACAGACTCAAAACAAATAGATGGAAAAATAGTAAATAAGCAAAACCTCTATAGAGAGACACACCAATACTAAAGATGGAAAACAACTATAACACACTTCACAAAGAGACAAAAAACAACTACAAAATTCAAATTGACAAGAGAGACAAAAACACTTACAGTGAGACCTAAAAATATCTCAGAGACACAAAACGACTAGAAATACATGCACAGAGATACAAAACTACAACTGAGAGATGTGAAACAACTGCAAACAACGCAGCTGTGAGGGGGAGATTGGGGGGGGTTAAAAAGTGCCTGTGCCCGGGGGCCTGTTGTCTCAGAATCTGTCCATGCCCATGAATCATTAACTCTACTCAGAAAACAAAGTGTGAAGTATGTTTTGCTTGCCTTGATCAAAAATAATGGTAATGTATGAGCTTTCCTCTAATCTTTACCCTTCCCTATGACTTCTTTCAGAAGGAATGTCTGCCATGTGGCGGTGTGACAGCTGAAATACTGCGAAGGCTGCAAGCTGCCACAAGACAGGAAAGTCAGCAAATACCTTCCTCTGTGTGTGAGAGTGTGTGTGTGTGTGTGTGTGTGTGTGTGTGTGTCCCACTCTGTGAGAGAGGTGAAAGGTGTATCCTACATACCTGGAGTTTTTTCACAGGGAGAAGCAGCTTGTCTGGACTTGGCTAGGCTAAGTGTCAGAGTCTGAGCACAGAAACTCAGCTGAGACAGAGACGGAGAGATGTTGGGGCAGGAGTCGTCCTCCAGAAGGAGAGCAGTGAGGAAAACAGGATGGAGGAAGAGGAGGATGGAGAAGTGGAATAATGGTAACATGGGCAGATTGAAAGGGACATTTAAACAGGTAAATACAAGGCAAATACGGATAGATTAGAAAACATGAGAATAAACCAATATTAAGTGTCCTAGTGATGTGTAAGGTCACCGTTTCCTTTAATTTGTCATCTCTTTGGGTTTATATAAAATGATAAAAACAAACAAGCAACCTGGAATTCAGCCCTAGAGTATCCCAATGTGTATGTAAAGTGATAAAAATCAGAAATTCCTTTGCATTTGTTAAAACTGATATTCGATCCAAAGCTGTGACTCTGTTCACAAAAACACACATTTGGTCCTGAGCTGCTGCTCTGAGTGAGGTTAGTGAGGGCTGTCACCACCTTCACAATCAGCCTCTGTCTGCCGATCTCACCTCTCCTTCAGTTGCACTCTGTGCGGATGTGTGTGTCTGTGCGTGTGTGTGTGTTGAGGTAAGAAATTAACTTTTCCCCCCCTGAAGGCATGGTTTGCCCTCTTGATGTGCTTTCTTGGAGCATCTCAGGGTCAGTTTTAATAAAAGCACTCGGTTTCTACCATTAAGTTGAATTTTCACTTTCCCCCACCCCTGAAATATATTAACATGTGATATGGTTGGTTTAATTTGTCATTTGATTTACATGTTCTTGGTCAAAATGCACTTTAAAAACACTGCTATTAAACGCTTTTACAAACCCTGTGTGTGCTATATTGCACATGTCATTCAAGTCATGTGGGAGGAGGCCTCGGAGGGCAGCAGTGAAAGTGACCTGCATGTGGATGTGTTGTGACTGTCACAGCTTTTGTACAGCCCAACTGGTCTGGCAACATTGTGGCGTGCCATGCTGGTATAGACGCAGCAGTAGCGGACTGTGGCAAAACCTGTTTGTTACGGGGGGGAAAGGAAAGCATGGAGGGGGGAGCATGGAGAGGAAGTGCCCAATGGGGAAGATGAAATCCAACTTCCTCTTCCCTCAACAGCCTCCATAGAAACAAGGATGCCACACTCAGTCCCTGACAGTCAGCATTTTTCCCTCACTGAGGGAAATGTTGTTGCCAAACAAGTTTCTCTACCCTGAAAAGCATTTTAAAAAACCTTTCTTGACCTTGACATAACCTCTTAGCTTAACTACCCTTGATATGTGTTCAGTGAGAAAGAGACTGATAGTTTGCTACAAAGAGTCCTTCAAAAATAACTTGTTTGAGCCGAAAGTGAACCTGAAAGCCCTTGTGGCGGAAGAAAGGATCCAGAAAAATCCCAAGCTGTCTGCGGCAAACCCCTGCGTATTCATACACACAATGGACAGCCAGATAATATTCTGCTGCACTATTGAATAGCTGACACCTGGAAGATTTGCTTTCACACGGGCCCTAAGGCTGGACAACCTCACCCCAAACCTAAGCTAGCAAATCCCTGCACAACATCCCCAGGGTGGGGGGGAACAGGAGCAATGTGTAGCTTTTGTAATTTCCCCCCCCCCTTCTTTTTCTTTAACTTTTGGCCTCCTTCTGAAACCATAATCACATCCTTTTCTCTTGAGAGATATTTCCCTCCATTCACAAAAGACTAAAAGGATTGAAGCAGGAAGGTGTGTGTGTGTGTGTGTGTGTGTGTGTGTGTGTGTGTGTGTGTGTATGTGTGTGTGTGTGTGTGTGTGTGTGTGTGTGTGTGTGTGTGCGCACGTGTGTGCGCGCGCGTGCGTGCATGTGTGCATGGCAGTCCGGAGACTTTTCTCACAATGATAACATTTCACAATCATGACACCTAACTGTCTGGAAGATTTCCAACAGGAATGAGTGCTATCATGACTGATGATTAATAAAACACAGTGAGTACTTCTTTCATTTTTGTTTTATTATGTTTATCCTCAAAACAGAAAGCACTATCATACACTGTACAATTAGATTCTACAACAATTAGATAGTACATTTGGATTATGCGCCAAAAACAATCATGTTTCTTTTTTCAAGTTTTAACACATTTTTACTAATAAAGCCACAAAAAAAAAATGCACCTCAAATAATAGAAAACTATACTTTTTTTATTTTCTTTACAGACTTATTTATATTGTGGTGTTATTGGGATAGCATGTGATACTTAATTTCCATCATGTACCTGGAGTTGCAGTTAATTTTCATATTAGCTGTATTCAGGCAAATACTGAGCGTATATGAACAGCTCCACTGTTCCCAAAACTAAAGAAACAGATAGTAGCTAGATTGATATCTGATGCAGTCAAAAACATCCCCGTCTATGCTGAGGCAGTATTTGTATAACTGTGATTAAAAATGTCTGTTTAAAACAGGATTGTAAGTCGAGACAGACATTATTAGGTCAGCAATGCAAAGAGTACATTATTAGTTACATTATAATGCTAATTCAGCTATTTTATCTACACTATCTTTATTAATAATAGCTAAGTGTCAGTCTTAAGCCTGTGTGCAAATGTTGTGAATGCTGGTGGCACAGTATGCATGCACACTTATTTACCTGCCCCCTAGTGTTGCTTTAAGGGAACATCACTATTTGATATTTATCTCGTAAAATTGTTGTGCGATTATGTTTTTGTGTTGTACATGGTTACATAAAAAGAACAAGGTAAACATGGATTAACAGAAAGCAAACAACAACAGTCCCATTATGTTAATGCTTATGACAGAATTAATGATCATTTTCATGAATCCTTATTCATGAAAATGATCATTAATTCTGTGGATTAAACCCTAACTTCCAAATGGGCATCATCATGAATACAATAAATAAAGGTATCTTAAAATAATAAAGAAAACACACCAAAGTTTTGTGTTGTGTGTTTTAGTCATAGTTCTAGTACACTAACGCCACGTGGGGGCGACATTGCCAACGTTATGAATCCGCATCATGGTGCGTTCACTAGTCCTCTTGTAATCGAATAAATAGATTTTTTACATGCATTTGTTCCAATGTTGACTAAGTAGGTCATTTGTATAGACTGTGTAAAATACGTAATTTACCGTGCACTACTCCCGAGCCTGTAGGTTTTCTGTTACATAACCTCTTATTCTATGGATATTTTAGTTTTGTATAACTGTGAATATTAATCATTTAAGGTTATCTATGTATAATATATATGCCTTATTTCAATCTTCGCACTGGACCCATCAATGTTTTTTTCTTAGCCTCGAAGAGACGCATTACACCAGTGTCAATGAACGCATCAGTATCCTTTAGCTGTCTGTGAATTGAGAAATTCTTACAAATTGTGTACGCCTTACAAACGACACGTAGGTTACTGTTATTGTAAAGAGGCAAGTACTGCTGTCCTTTTAAGATTGTATAAGCTATAACATATACCGCTGGTACTTTTCCTGGTTAAAGTCTCCCACAGGCTGAAGGAAATAATTAGTTGATGTTTAGCCGAAGTGAGCTGAGGTTATCATGGAGGCTAACCCACGCTACAGCTCGGTCATGTAGTGTTGGTGGGGCTGTTGATATAGTGAGTAAAACATTTTTTTGGGGAGAAATTACCCCTTAAATTAGGACTTCTGGTGATGTAATGCCGCGTTTCCAGTGCAGCGCGGAGCTCGCTTTAATGCTGCGTTCAGACCGGACGCGATGCGAATATTCGCTTCGTTCTAAACGCTCCTATCGCATCGCTCTATTCGCTCGAGTTTCACCGCGGCTGCCAGCTGTGTTTACTCGCATCATTCAAACAAGACGCGCTGGCTCGGGAGCTACAACTACAACAAAATGAACATATTTTACCGTGATTAAATTGTAATACACGTTTCTTAATGATGCCGACGTAACAACATACTGATACCGGTTAGTAAAAACCATGAATTAATGCTTTGACAAGTCTGAAGACAGACGGCAGGCGAAAAACCTTTTGGAATGCTTGTTTTCTGAATGGAGCTTGGCTAAGCTAACGTTATGCTCCGACCGTCCACACTCACAACAACGGCCTATACAGACATAAATAAACCAGCGACTGTATTCTCCATGACACAGACAGTCTGTGGTTTGTACTTGTTTAACTTTTGTCTAGTTTCTGAACAGATCGTATCTGTCCCCGGCTGTTTGAAGAGCAAGCATGGGAAAACAAAATATAGCATTTACCTGTTTGCATCCAGCTAGCCATGCCTTTCTGGTGTACCAGCTACGTGATACGTTTTGTCTTTTTCACGAGCTTGCTGTGATATATACAAATCGGGTTGGTCCGGTCCAAGGTCTTTAAGTATCAATTTATCTCCCAAACTTCTCCTTTGGAAAGGATTGGAGAGTAGCTCTTGCACGGAATTGGGTGCGGACCGAGGTCCCGCGACTCCACCTGCACACCATTCTCATCCAACTACTGCGTCACCTTGGTCACTCACGAGCATAGACTGTATATATAAAGCTCACGAGTCTAAAAAACAACTCACGTCAACGCACGTAAGCAACGTGGGCGCCAACGTGAGCGCCCTCGCGACCAAAATATTTGACGGCGCTGATTGGCTGAAATTATGTTTCGGCGGCACAGTTTACTATTGAGACTTTTGCAACGTGTTGGTTGCTGCTGTTTGGCTCGGGGGCTCCGCCCGGTAATGATAAACTAAAGCCATGGGCAAGGCCAGGCAGGAAACATGTGACTTATCAGTAACTTTAGACATCGTAACACAATTTTAAACGAGATTTTATTGTAGATTATACATTTTACTGATACCAATTGTATGATATTTACCTTGTTCATTAAAAATAAAAATATAAAATATATATATATATTTTTTTATGTGGGAAGAGGTGGGGCGGCGCCCCTAGCGCCCCTATGGGCCGGCCGCCACTGGATAGGATATTAAGTCTCGTCAAAAACAGTAGCTAACAACTAGCTTGCTAATTGTGTCTGTATTATTGTTCCTACCTCTCAAGACTTACTTAACAGACATTAGTAATTCCAGTATGCCCAATGCTTTGCGCACAAGTGCAACACGTTGTTAATTCAGATAGCTAACATATGGTGTAACATGTTACGATAATGCTTAGCTGGCAGCATTTTCATTAATTAATCATCGCTAGTTACCAGTTAATGCAATGCTGACCAACGTCAAAGTATATATAGACGTTGATGGGAGGCAAGGCTGAATTACCAAAAGGAAATGTACACAATTTCACTGTCCTGACCTGCAGGGGTCTGCGTCTCCATCAGTGTTCTAATGTGAGAGTAAGCACCACTAATGTTTATAGGATGTGAGCTGCACGAATCATTGTCAAGTTATTGGGGCTCATAGCTAATTTGAGCCAGTTTTAACGTGTTTCATTTGGTAACACATTTGGTCTGATTGCAGCTAAAAGTTTGGTTGTTAAAAAAAACTGTAAAATGCAAGCAAAGACTTCACAACTGCCAGCCGGCCGAGGTCAGGCAAAGTCAACAAGATAGAAGAGCTTCAGTTTACCTGAACTGAAAGGCAGGGAAATTACAGGCAGGGCTATAAAACCTTGATTTACATGACGGGTAAGGGTAATTAATTTCCTAAAACCATTCAAGATGGGCGAAACCAACCAACCAAGGAAAGTTTTAATTAGCAAAGAAAACGGACTAACATGACCAGATTTGTCAGTTTGTGCTACATATTTACTAACAAGTGACTCGTTTGAAAGAGTGGAATCGGGGAGGGAAACAAGTTCTCTCTTGCCCTCCATAAAAAGATTTGTTTCTCTATGAGTTGGGAATAAACTAGTTCCTCTGGTTCAGCAAACAAGATATTTTCTTTTATAAAGTTAAGGTGGATAACAGATTTGAAAATTGTAGAGTGTGTTTGTAGGGGGGTTTCTCAAGAAAGTCCTTGCACCTGGCCCTCAAAATGCTGATGAAAAATAATGAAAGAATTGCCAAAGTGTTCTCCTTTGCTATCACAGTAAACATGGTATTAGGCAAGTCTTTCTCTGTGAGAACTGAAATAACTCTCCAAACGTTTTAACTGACTTATAGAGGTAGATGTGTACCAACAACAAGAATAGAAGGTTAAGAAAAGGTCACAACACTGTGGTGTATCGGTAAACATCAAGTCATGTGTCCTTGCTTCCTCCTCTTTAGGCTTTACCAGAATGGCGCGCGGGCATCAAAAACTTCAGTCCCAGCAGAAAAATGAAAAGAAACAGACGGAGATGAAGAAGGCAAAGGGTCATGACCAAAAGACAGCCGCCAAGGCAGCGCTAGTGTTCACCTGCCTGGTGTGCCGGGTGAGTATGATATCTTTACTATTACAACCCAGAGACCAACACCTGACTGAGGGTGCAGCCTGGTAATACTGCTATGTTATATAATAATGCCTAATTCTAACCCTTATTATGTCAAGGTTAGAAAAGTGCTAGAATTTGAATATATTCCCTTAAAAAAATGCTTGGTTTTCAACTAAATATATTGTTTTATATACACAATCCCTCATGTCAGAGTTCATTTGAACTTCTGGTGAAAAAATCCAATTGACCAAATACGCTGATCGCTTTGAGTATAAAATAATTATTTTAAGGTAATATTTTGTGAACCCTTATAATGAGAAAAGGCTTTTATTTTCCCTTTATAACTCTGCTGGTGTTTGGTCCTTTTTTATAATTCTATGAAGGTGTCAGACATTTGTCCTAAATGATAAATTGTTGGATGTATTTTCCCTTCCCGCAGACCCAGATGCCCGACCCAAAAACCTTCAAGCAACACTTTGAGAGCAAGCATCCGAAATCCCCTCTGCCCCCCGAGTTAGAGGGAGTGGAGGCATAAACGGTCACCATGGATACCAAACCCATTCAATGCCCTGCACCAACTCTGCACTTGTCTCAGTCTGACAGCAAGTGATGAATCGATGTAACCAACTAAAATAGTTAGCTATATCTACGTAGTCTTTGACAGGCCAGGTTGCTTTAACACAATGCTTCCCCCCCCCCTCTCCAGTCCTCTTTTCACTTGTGGTTAAATAACTTGCCGGGCTAAACTTAAATACCGGTTTTAATTCCAGGGCCACTGGAGTTCCAGGAACCATTCAAGTGTCGAATGAAGATTTCTACCTTCCTTCACTAAGTTCCTCAGAACAGTCACTGCCCTGATGTCTTATGCACATATGAGTATTTCTAGCTGCTAGCTCTTGTACCTCTCTTAACTCAAGCTTCAATTAAATCAATTGTTTGATAAACCTATAAAGCAAAAAGACATATGTTGTAAAGACATAAAGTGTCTTCAAACAAAGCATGGGATTGGCTTGGGTGGGAAAATTCAGATTTAAAATGAGCTACAATCAAGACAATGGCAGATGTGACCTTGTCTTTTTTTATTTGTGCTTCAAGCATTGAATCAAACTGCAATCTTTCACCTAGCTAATCATAATTTCATGTTGGGTCAACATTTTTTTGAAATTTCACAGGCGAGTGTAAGCAACTCGGATACGAATGAATGAATGCTCCAATTATGTATAATAACATTTTATTAAATTTGACTTTGTTGTATATTTGCGTTTCTCTAGAAAGTGTTTTTTTCTTCTTCATATAATTCCAGGAAATCCTCCTAAGGATTTTGTAGGATTCATCTTGTTTGTTTTTCTGCCTCGTAGGTTACATTTAAAGGTGGGGTAGGTAATTTTGGAGAAACCAGCTCGAGTGCGCTAGAATTTGAAAATACACAGCCGGAACAAATCTGCCACTTCCTTACAGAGGCAGGAAGGCCATCCAGTTATTTTAGCCGGGCCTGCTAAAATGATTGGTCGTGCTTTTTACAGTACCACGGCTTCCACAGATGAAATTTAATGGATTTTTTGTCAAAGCACTTAAGATATTCATTGCTATCGGGATGTTAAGAGCATTCCATGGAATATAACAAAAAGTGTATCTTGAGCCGGTTTCTCAAACTTACCTACCCCACCTTTAACTTCTAGCTTTTTAGGGTTTGTTGGTCCATTTACTTTTACTGCTAGTTCAATATTTACAGTCCATTCAAATTGACCACATTGTTCTGCTCCTCCGCTCACATAGTGTAACTTTATTTTTCTTCCCATTTTGCAATATGTCAGCGTGTAATCGTTCTTGGATATCAGCTGCACCTCTAAATGTGCAATCATTTATGAAGAATGATAGATAATAGTATTCATAATATTGCGTTAAGCCATCGGTAGGAAAAAGGCAGAGTGTAATTGACATCTGACTGGGAAGTCATGCCAGGTGGCCAATCTGCTCTAATGTGCCCATTTTTGTCAACTTGCCTTTTTTGGAAAACATTACACTGCGGGTACTTTTCTCTCGGGTAAATTGCAAAAATCTGAATTTGATGTTGGATCATCATAAAAAGCTTGAACCTTCATTTGCAGGAATAATCTTACACCAACTATACTATAATTGAAGCATCTTGTTGATGGCTACTATAAATGTAAACCTTTTTCAAAATGTAAACATTACTTGATGCAAAAGTAGCAACGCTAAATCTGAAATATGGTTTCAAGTTGTTATGCGATGGAAACAAACTGTCATAAAAGATTTGCATCATCTGCTGCTGTCAACAGGAAATGACTTGAACTGCACCACATTATAATTAACAAAATCAATTAATGCTGTGTGAACCGATAAGTAATTTCAGCTGCTGAAAATATTGTCTTCGACTTTTTTTCTTCACAAGCATTCATTTCCTCCGATCTCCTTTTTCCAGGTGTGACAGATGCTTCAGTTCAGCTCTGACTGTGACTGTAAAGATGTGTTGTCCCACTGTACACAAAGAATGAACTGCAGCATTGCATTCACTGGTGTTACCAGCTTGCCTTGTATTCACAATGTCTGAGTCTGAGAAATAACGTTGTTTTCCTGTTTAATCTGAGTATTCAGAAGAACAGAGAAAAAAAGCCAGTGCCATGCTGCATGTTTTTCAGTGAGTGGCTCACCCAAATGAGTCATCAGTCTGTCAACATATAACCTTCATTTAAAAAAAAAAAAGAGGGTTGACAGACTACACCTAACAATTATGGTCATTATCGAATTAATACATGAGTCATAAAGAAATTATTGTTAATTTATTGTGTAATCTTATGTGATTTATTTACTAGTGCGTGTAAGGAGTTCTCAGTTTTAAATAAAATAGTCTTAGAAAGTATTTTTTAGGTTATTTTTCCTTTGTGATCAAAGAAACACTAACTTCAAAGTGAACACGTATAGACCAGTGTTTCTCAAACTTTTTCATACCAAGGACCACTTAACCAATAAAAAAACACTCGCGGACCACCTAACTCCACAAATATCAAAAAACACATCGTTTTTCTAGAACAGATTACAAATCGCCTGAAAATGGTACAAACAAGTGGCAACATGTGTGATGAAGGTGTTGCGCTGGGCTATATCAAGCAATCAAAAGTGAAACTTAACCTCGCTCCATTGCGGAGATATTCCCGCGAGAGTGCGGAAAACGGAAATTTATTTATTTATTTCAAATGTGAAATGTTACCAATATACTCACGGACCACTAGGGGGCGCTCACGCACCACCAGTGGTACGCGGACCACACTTTGAGAAGCACTGGCAGACTGATCTGAACCATCAACATAATCTCCGTTTCCATAGCAACTGCTAACATTTAGACACTGTACGGTAGATGGGGAAAGATCATTTTGGATTTTCATTATTGTTTTGTTCCCTAAATTAGATCAATAACATAACAAATTCAGTTTTTGGAATGTTTATAAAAGATGGTGCCACACATGACTTAGCAAAAAATAACCTACATGATTCTTCTTGACGTTTTTTTACATAATAATACTCATAATTTATCATTTGTAAAAACACAACTGAATTTCGTCTAGTATTTTTTTAGCAGCACGTCAAACGCTGTTTAGGTTTTTTACTTCATACAACAATATTTAAAACCTTGTAGATTTACAGTTAGATGATTTAAAAAGCAGAGATATATAAGACCGTAACAAATAGTAGCCTATGTTCTAAACTATGCCTACAGTAATATGGGAATTAGAATAACATAAGATTGTTGGAAACTTAAATAAAACATAAAAGATCCACCGACTGTTTCCATGGCTTTAAATGTGTTGCCTCTAAATGTGGTTGCCCTAGCAACCTGAGTCTGACGTCATCGTCCCAGACCGTGCTGCTGTGTCTTTGATTGGAGGGAAACCCCGTGGACGAGCGGGAGCGATCATCAGCTGTGCAGCCGGGAATCAGGAACAACATCATCTAACTACACTCGCAGGTTAGTTCTCCTATTTACTCCTCATTATCGCTGCTATTATGAAGATAAGAACGTTATTTTGTACGCCGTGAGCTTAGACAGCTCTTTAAATGTAGCTTGAATCGTTGCTACTGTGGACTGTAGGAAACCAGTGATGCTCCACTTACTCAGTCATTGTTCGCCGCTTAACGTACTGAATGTGGAGCCTTACTGCAGTTGTAACCCATCTATGTATTTTACACACTGTGTTTAGAAGGCTGATTTTGAGTGTACCCCATTCTCTTTTTACAAAATGAAGCAAGCCGACATTAATGTATAATGCTCGCTGAAATCATTTGCTCTGGGTGTTTTCCGGGAAGCGAAAAAGGGCGTTCACTTTGGACTGAAATAAGCAAAGCTCCTTTCATTCCGGTTAAACCGAGTCTGTCATACCATTATTGGGGTTTATTTGTATATTGTAAAAATATTTAGGCGATATTAGAATAGTTTGTGTGTGTGTGTGTGCGCGTGTGTGTGTGCGCGCGTGTGTGTGCCGCCGACATTCCTCTGAAGGGTGCAGGTGTCTGCTGGTAAATCTGACTCACTGATCGTGGGATTTTTGAAAAATTAGTCTCCTGCGAATTTCACATGGAGATAATAAATGTTAAGCGATAATTAGCAAATTATGTACTTATTTCTATGCAGTTTACAGCCCTGTAGTTATGGTAAATGTGTTACAACTATTACTAATACTTATGTCCTATCAATGGACAGAACATACATTTGTAAGTAAAGTTATAAGATGTTTGTCATGTCATGTTATTAAGCAAAAATGAAGAACACACTGGTTTCGGCTTTAGTTTTATAACCATATCCTGCTTTTTTTTTGTCAAACACATGCATGATGATTTCCGAAATGATTTAGAGTTTTTCACTCTGACATAACATTTTATGGACAAATTGACTAATATTTATGAAGAATATACTAATTGATACTTGTGCCATGGGAATCTTGTTTTACAATTAACATGTCAAACAACTAATCTAGAGAGAATCTCCAGATTAATCAAATATATAAGTGGCTCTTTCAAATAGACAGCCTGAAAATTGGACGGATAAGGAAAACAATCATGTTGCAATGGCACTTTTACATATAGTTGCCCTACTATAACCACCTTTTTATTTTATTTGATATATCATACTATCTTTTCAAATTTCTATTTCTTAATCCATTCTGATGTAAAACCCCTGTACATTATACACTTCTCTTGTGGAATTTGTAACAACTTCGATGCCAATTCAACTTAGTCACCAGACTGAGTGCAGATAAACAAAGCTGGGTGAGATCCAACAGCTATTTAAAAAATCTGGTGTGTGCACACACCCTGAACATACCTACTATTGTGAGAAATCCAAGCAGTGCGAGAAACGCTATAATAATATTACTTGAATAATGTCAGGTGATACGATCATTCAACAAAGTGGAATTTGTGCCATAGACTGCGTGTTATATTCTCCAATTATATCAGAGATTGCTATTCAGTGCATGAATATCTCTTAAGCTTGTGTTAACCAGAAGCATCTAACCAGAACCCATTCAAAAAACCATTGACTTTGACACAGGGAAACTGTTAGTTGTAAAATGCAAATTGATTTCCTGGTTTAAGACTTGTTCCTTCAGCACACTTCCTTTCAACTGATTGCTATTTTGGTATCTCCAAATGTGTGTTTGCATGCATGCCAGAGAACAGGTTTCTTTCAAAAAAACTTGATGACACAGGAAGGACAGTGTGTTTACATGTACTGTAGTCATCGGTCATTCAAGTGTATTGCTCCCCTCTCTCTCTCCTTGTTCCTGCCCTCCCCCCAACTCTCTTTCCTCTGTCTTCCTAATCCGTCTCCTGTCCTCTTTGTGTTGTCCTTCCCGACCCCCTCTCCTCTGGCCTTCCTTCCTCAGCCTAGACAGGAGCCATGGCAAACCATGAGGAGAATGTACAGCAAGCCAAACTGTCGGAGCAGGCCGAGCGCTACGATGACATGGCTAAAGCTATGAAGGCTGTGACAGAGGAGTGCGAGGAGCTCAGCAACGAGGAGCGCAACCTGCTCTCTGTGGCCTACAAGAATGTGGTGGGGGCTCGGAGGTCCTCATGGAGGGTGGTGTCCAGCATGGAGCACAAGACTGAGGACACCAAGAAATCTGCACAAGCCAAAGTGTACAGAGAGGCAATAGAGAAAGAGCTGAACGACATCTGCCAAGAAGTACTGGTAAGCTGCAGAGATCATGTAGAGGTGCAAATAGGGTGAAAGGAAATGGAGAGCAAATGCTTGAACCGAGATTTACAGATGGGAAGCAAACAAATAAATCGGCTGTTTTTTCTAGTGAGAACTTTAAGTGTTACAACAGAGAGAATGAGTGAGGGACTGTATTTGGTTTTCCTGTCCATGACAACTGTATGCAACACCAGTCAAATGCACCTAACAGATGTATTTATTTCCGCACAGGTTGCTTGCTTTGATATAAACATTATAGCTATAACGCAGCGTCCACACGGCGGCGTGCGTTGAAGCTTGCCGGTGGGCGTGTCTGAAACTCGACCAACAACCAATCACATGAATCTCCCGCCCCGGACACACAAGCACGCGGTTTGATTGGCTAGAGCTTGTACTGGCATATTCCGTCGAAGCTTCAAAAGTAGAACATTGCTCTACTTTTGAAGCGAGCAACGCGAAGCGACGGAACCACAATGCAGTTCGGCAAAGCGTGACGTCACCCCATTCAAAGTGAATGGGCAGAAGCGTTGAAGCTTCAACGCACGCCGCCATGTGGATGGGACGTAAGGCCAATAATGAGTTTAATTTGGTTACTGCCTGTATGGGCTGGGGGTCACGTCAGTAAGAGCTACAAGGGGCAGTGTAAATATTCACTAACAACGTGTCGTCATGTGTTTCTGGATACCTCATATTTAGGAAAAAAAAGTTGGAATCAAATATTAAAGTATAGTGGACATAGTTGATGTTTAGGAGCCTTCATAACATGTATATTAGACTAGTTTGAGTCTCATGTTTTAAATCATTCTACCAAAATATGTTTCAAGCTAATGGAGGCTTCTCGCTGCCGCTCTAGATGTTCAGATAGCAGACAAACCGGTGAACTGTCAGTCTTGTAGATTTAGTTTTTGAAATTACGCCTCATTCACTGCGATTTAATTTTCTACAATTTGAACAAAAGGCTGTAATGTTTTGTATAGGAGTGAGATAATATAATTTTGTATGTGCCAATATGCTCTGTTTAATGTTTCCTATCAGTTTTATGATATCTTTCGTCCTGACTTTCTTGATTGTTTTTGTATAAGCTAATGAATGCAAGAAATTAGCAAATTTCAACAGTGAGGATGAGGTTATCCTTTAAAGCAAATTCATGACCATTGGTTAAAATGTTCAGGTTAAATACACCACTCAAAATTCTGTTAAGTTATTATCTTATTTCAAACTGCTTGTGCATTTGTTTGAGTTTCAAGACGCATTTCAACAATAATGTTGGCCACCTTCATTGCAGGACCTGCTAGACAAACATCTGATCCCCAAAGCTACGCCTGCTGACAGCAAAGTCTTCTACCTGAAGATGAAGGGAGACTACTTCCGTTACCTGGCTGAGGTGGCAACCGGAGACAAAAAGCAGGGTGAGGAAAGCAGTAAAGCATTTTGAGTTTTTTTTTGGTCATCATATCTCTCCATTAACCCCGGTATTCACCCGGGACAGGGGAGTTATTATTATGGTTTATGAGAAGTGCGTGAAACGTTGTTTTTTTTTCACATGATTCCACCTTTTGCTAAATACAAACATGTGTACTGATAAACAGTCCTTTAATTATTATATGTTATATTACACATATTCTGTTAATTTACACATTCACATTTCGTATCCTTTAGCCTGGAATATGACCATGGCCTTAATCATGGCCTTAATCTTCCTCGTATGTGTGTAATATTATTTGACGATTAGTGCACCAAGCTTCGATTAGTTAGATGGTGCTTTTACACAAGGTGATCTTTTATCTCAAACTTTTTACAAGGTGTGCAGCATAAGATACCATGATGATCTACCCTGCTGGGAAATAACCAGAAGAGTTAACCCTGAAATGACCTTGCTGAACCCAAATCCTGCTTGTGGCCACTGGCTTGCCTCAGGTGTTGTTTGTGGCCAGAATACTTAAGACCATCCCCGTCTTTCACCTACAATTGTCAGCCGAAATGCACACAAGGTCTGCTGCTTGGTTATCATGGCAACAGGAGCCGCACCATGTCGTTTGCTGCTACTGTTGAAGAAATATTTTGAGTTTAGTTGTTTTTCCCTTAGTATTTATCCTTTTTCCTTCAATTTGTGATGAGCATTTTATAGCCTTTGTGGTTGGTGGGTCCAGGCCCGTCCCTCCCTACAGGCCGATCATGCAGATTGCCTGGGGCCTCACCTTGCGGAGGGTGCCTCAACTGAGCTGAAAATGCGGCGCACCTACTGTATGCGCTTATGAGGCGCACCTATGCGCTTATGCGGCGCAATTAGTGTGGCGCTCGCGAAACAGAGGGCCTCATCATATAGCTTTGCGTGGGGCCTCATGTTGGCCAGGGACGGGGTGGGTCATATTGCTGAACTCTTTCTTTACTGTAAAATGCTGACCAGAGCCCAGTGTCTTTGCTAAGAGCTCAAATAGATGAAACTAGGGATGCTCCGATCGGCAATTTTGGGGCTGATCGGCGAAATCAGTATCGGCCGATCGCCGATCCGATCGAGTGGGCGGGGCCTATGGGGATCTCCCATTTAAAGTGATGTTTAAAACTCAGTTAATGGGGCTCATTCACTGGCGCTTCCACAAACAACAACCAACATCATTATTACATTCAAATGAAGTACATTATTCAAGTTTACATTAACTTAGGATAATAACACGGGAGAAATGAGCGGAAGCGCTCTCTTTTCCTCTCTCCTGACAGCCTGTCAGTATCTCATGCAGCTCACTGATCCAGTAATGAGTGACCCGACAGTGAAGAATAAAGATATTTATAACTAGTTTAGCTAGTTCCAGAGGTAGATAAAATAGGGTCTAACTCTTAGTGTGTGTGTTGCTCTGCTCACCGGTCCGTCACAGCGGGCAGAGCTGCAGGATTTCTGCTTCACACACGTTGCATACCGCTATTTGATTGTCCTTTTCGGACACCTTAAAATACTGCCAGACTGGTGAAGCCATTTTGGCGAGCTTGTTTTGCCGCACACTGAGAAAAGTGTCATGTATTTTACGTCATAATTTTTAGAGAGCACCGATCGATCGGTAGAGAGTGAGTATCGGCCGATATCGATCGCCGGCCGATTGATCGGAGTATCCCTAGCTGAAACAATTAACAAATGAGTTGATCAACATATTTATTACATTCTGTGGACCTAAATAATTATTTTGTGGAGGAAATAATCAGCAGGTTAATGGATAGTCATAAACAGCCCGGCAATTTGGGCATAAGAAGGGCTTAGGTGACGTATCTATGAGTTTAACTGCAAACTTAATATGTGTAAATATTGGCATATGTGGGAGGCTGTGGCTCAGTGGATAGTGCGCTGAACTTCAAATCAGGAGGTAGCAAGTTTGAGTCCCACTGCAGTCAGCATGTCGTTGTGTCCCTGGGCAAGACACTTCACCCCATATTGCTCCTGTGGGGATTGCCCACAGTACTGTATGTAAGTCACTTTGGATAAAAGCGTCTAACAAGTGAAATGTAATGATTGCCTGAAATACATTTTAGAAGCAGGAACATGCACCGTCTTGCACATACAGATTCTGAACAAAGGAATGTACTCTTGTTCGGCAGTCAGCTATTAATGTGAACAAACCTCAACAGATAGCTCTTTCCCATTCAGTAAAATCTGCTAACTGATTGATCTCTCTTTCTATGTACAGCAACCATTACTAATTCACAAGAGTCCTACCAAAAAGCCTTTGATATCAGCATTGAAGAAATGCCAGCTACCCATCCCATCCGCCTAGGCCTCGCTCTCAACTTCTCTGTCTTCTTCTACGAGATCGTCAACTCGCCTGATAAAGCCTGCAAGCTGGCCAAGGAAGTAAGAACTGCCATTTTCTCATATAACGGCAACTTTTTTATCTTGTGAAAAGCATTATATGATGTTAATGTGGGTTTGTGATTCTGTAACAAATTAGTTAACTTAAAAGCAGAAGTGTTTTTCCTGATGTTTGAATACAAAGGGACTTTTCACCTTTACTAATTCTAACTTGTTATAGGAAGACAAGTTTAAGTTGGTATAATTTCCGTATAAACGAACAGGTGCATTATCACAAGTTTTTCGACAATTTTCAAACCTTGCATTGTTGTTTTCTGCCACAAGCTGTCATGAATCGACTTTTATTCAGGCTTTATCTGTGTGTTTTCAAGACCCTTTTTGAATTTTGTTAGTTTTTAAATGCATGTTTTTACTGGCTCCCGGTACAAATAGAAAACAATGAAGTAATTCTAAATGGTAGAATCTGGCTGCAATGATAAACTACCATGGGCCTGTTTGCTGTTAGTGTTCTGATTGATCCCCAAGCGGTAGTAGGTACTTATTGTGTACATAATGAGCATTAGTACATCAGTCTTACACCATAACAAAAACCATAAAATACCTTGGTTTTACAAATGTTCCGATGTACAGTTGTTGTTGGACAGAAATACATCATGTTAGCCCGTACCTTTGACACTGATGGCTGTCTGTGTCTCCTCCAGGCATTTGAACAAGCCCTTCCACAGCTGGACTCCCTCAACGCTGACTCCTACAAAGACTCCACCTTGATCATGCAGCTGCTCCGTGACAATCTGACGGTAAGTGTGTCATCTTCATTTCTGTGTCCTAAAATGTCACTTTCTGATCTCACTTATCTCTGCACTGGTTTGGTTGATTTTGACTTATAAGTCATCTAACTCTACTAAATGTTTGAAATATTGAATTGTTTCCCATGATTCTTAGTTTGCACTAATCTCAATATCACTTGCTCTATTGCAGCTGTGGCAGTCAGACGCCCAGGCTGAAGAGCAGGAGCAGGAGCAGGAGGAGGGGGACAAGGAGAAGGACGACAAAAAAGAAGGAGGATGCAACTGAGTAAAACTAATCTTCAGAAGAAAAAAAAAAGCAAGAAAAACACACACCTCTCACCAGCCTAAGTTGTGTGGCTGTGTATGCACAGATATGTATGTTTACACTCCACTCACAATGTGTAAAGTACAGGATGTGTATGCAGATACACTGACGTGTATGTGTGTTACTTGTATGAGCACCTCCACAGAGAAAAGAATGGAATGGATCTATACTTGTTGTGTCAAACAGTGGATGTTTATTTTTTTGTTCATTGTTTAGTCCAAATGATGTCCCTTCGTTTAGATCCAAATCTGCACCATGTTCTTTAACCTTATCACCGTAGCAAACTGCTGCTGTTGCAGGAAAACACAAACAAAAAACCTCTAAGTGTAATTTTGATAATTTGTATGTTTTTACTTGAACTCAATATTTACAATCACAATCACGTGAGTCTAAAAAAATCCTTTGAAGCATATACACTGTTAAAATAAATAAAAATAAATATTGTTACAGCAATCAGAAGTCACTAAATTTAAGATCTCGTTTGAAAAAGCAGTGATCATATGATGGAGGGGTTTACCTTGGTAAAGGTTTAACCATATTGGCTGTATCCATCCCGCCCTGTTGGTGTCGGTGTAGCAGATGGTGTATTTATGGATGGTACACTTGTCATTGCTCTTTGTGCATTTGGGCATAGGAAAGGTTTTCTGTATGAATGGCCACTTGGGAATACTGTATTTAAACTTTGGTTTGGTTTGGTTGAGGGTTACATTCCATTTTACTGACATCAATTTCAAACTCGGTGAAATGTGTACACTATAATTTCCTGCTGTTCTCAATAACAGGACAAGGTATGGAAAGCCTAAGATTAAGTGAACAACTTGACAAAAAGGCACAATACTGTAACTTTTGATATTTTATCTGTTCAGCAGTGCAGATGATACTTTTGCCATGTGCTCTCATGTGGCTTTCTACTCTTTTTCTATTCAGGTGTTTTGTATTTTCTTTTTGTGTATTTTATTCCCTTGAATATTGATTTGACTCCTGGAATGCATGTGGTTCTCAGTAGTATGGTGTGAGGGTTAGCCGTGCTTTGAAACTGGCAGTTTCTGCTTAGGATTTAGCTTGAACCAGGTGGTTTACAGTAACATTGACCTTCCTTGAAAGTACATTGTGAAAAACTAAAACATGCCTAAAATCAACTGATTATTAAAGTAACTTGGTAGGAAGCTGCGTTATGACAATTTAGTAGTAACAAAGTAGTGCCAGTTTCTTATAATTAACAGTATCTTGGTTTTAAAAAGATGGGATGCAGGATTCAGAATTAACACTGAGTATGTTATTTGGTTATGTGCTTTCATGTAAGTGGAATTAAAACATTAAATCAAGTGTGCTGCGTTTGCTCTTTGTACATGTGGAATGACTTTTACAATGTATTAATGTAAGCTGTGTGTCAAGTTTTACCATGCCAAGACATCCGAGTCTTGGCATGGTTCATACAACAACAACATGGGTTATCTTAGAATAACCCATGTAAAGGCATATTCCACCCAAAAAGGATAATTTCTCGAATGACTCCATTGTGAGCAAATAGCCAAAAAGTCTAGAAACATTGAAAAGAAGGACACCATTTTTATTTTTACATGGGGACATGAAAGAACAAACAGTTCAACTGAGTAATTGAATCAAATTGCCATTTTGTGGGTGAAATGTTTCCTATAAAGCATTATATTTAGGTGATATAGCCGCTTGCAACGTCCTCTAAAAGCACACGGACCGCCTTCATTGAACAGTGGCTGATTTAATGTTAGAACTCTTATCTAACAAATCTAGACAGAACACTACTTTTGATTTCAAAGGATGAAAAGGCTTTATTTGTAATAATGCACAATAGCTGCTGTGTAGTTTTAGCAACAATGCGACATATAATAAACTAAACACAAAAGTGAAAGACAAAATGATTCAAGTAAGTCGCCAGAACAGCAAAGAAAATAGAATAAGACAAGAACAGAATATACAATTAAGCTGATGCGAGGCCAATGGGACACTTCGGTACACTGATGAAAGACCTGTGAAATTAAAACATTATGAAGCTAATATCATTTTTTTTGTATCCCATTACCTCCCTTGGTTCTGGTGAATTAAAAAAGAATCAGTAGAAAAGCACAATGGAAAAGGCAGCAGAGCTCTGGTTTGATTTCAGATGGATACTAGCTTTTCACTGACAACACTGCCCTCTGCAGATGGATATGGCTTTGTGGGCCATGTTGTGGTGCATGTATGGATGTAATTTTGTTCAAATTAAGCTTGACTCACTCTGCAGTTCCCTGTCAGTGTTAAAATATAATGAGTTATTATGTTGCATTAGACTGCTGTAAATGTTTAAATGTGTGCTCTTTTTTACATGTTGGTATATACATTGAATCAAAGCATAATTTACTCTAGGATCATCATGCATCCCTAAAAAGTAAACTTGTCATGTGCTCAAAAAAGCATGTTTTGCACAAAAGGCACAAATTCAAGGGTCAGGTTCACAAAAACGTATAGTCATCACATCTAGATACATGTTTTTCACTGCAGCAAGCCCCTGAAACATAATATTATAAACATATATTCAAATAAGTGCTTCAGATTAGTATCATACCTGAGTAAATGTATTTATTCTACTATACTATAAAATATCAAGGGTTTAGTTTTCAATCAGTAGGCCCATTTCAGTGACATTTGTGAGCTAATCAGCTCAGATCAATGGCCAGAAACAGATCTAGTGAAGTGAGTAATGTAGCTCTGTCTTCATTTTCACTCTGATAGCAGCTGATAACGCCATAAGAGTTACACCCCAACATATGATGTATGAAGGCTGTAGAAAGCATATGTTTATAATGGGAAGGATTTGTATAAGACAAAAATAAAAACAGCACAGCTATTCATATAGGTAAACCTTTCAACTACATGGATATGAAATACACCTTTCACACATGACTCTTATTTGCACATAATAGGTGTACTCAATAATACACACATGGTGTGGCATTGTATAGGATCATGTAAAAAAGGAATATAAATGTCCAAGCATGAAATTGCAGGAAATAGTTTGTCACACGTGGTGGATGATGGTGTCAGAGACAAAAGCAATGTTATATATGCTTGGAAATCATGTGATGTAGTCTTGCACGATATCATATTTGTTAAATGCCCATGCACACGTTAGGTATCAAATGCGGAATACCGTGTTGCGGTAAAAATCTCATAAGGCACGACAGGCCCATTACATCCTGACTGTAGCCTACTGTCTAGCGGGGATTTAGTTTCGCCTGTCGATCCTCTCAAATGCAGGGGGTTTCACGTCGTCCCCATGCAGCACCACTGAACAATGGCCTATTGTGGTCAACACAATAAGTCAATTTCACCCTTTAACAATTCGTTTTTACTTGATTTCATCATCATGCGTACAGTTGTGGTTCACGCCCCCTTGTTAACTTGTTTTACAAATATACTGGAACATGATTGGTCCGTTGCGGTGACGCGTCCTCTGGTATATATATAAACTCTTCCCGGTGTGTCCTCCCCCTCTACCCCGGCTGTTAGCGCTGTGTGAGTGCGTGTGTGCTCCTGAGCCCGCTCGGCACACGTTCTATAAAAAATAAAAAAAAAACAAAAAAAACTCAAAACATAAAATATACAAAAAATCATTTTTATTTCTTTTTGTAACAACGGTGAAGCTGGAGTAGACCCTGCGCATTGGACGGTAACGTATAAGATCGAGCTAGCTAACGTTTAAACCGAAGACATTTTTGTTTCAGTCGACGTCGTACCAGCTCCGAAGCGAGGCCTTAAGTCACGTTTATTCGCTTTTAACATCGCGTGTCGCATTGAGTTACAGTTTAAATTCATTAAGAAGCGGACATAGTTCGATTTTAAACGTATTTTGTTTACTCAAAAGCCGTAACACGCCAACGGTTGTAAACGTCTACCATCAGCATTCTGCTTAACTGACGTGACTTATAGCGACCGTTGGAGAACCACACGTTCGAACAGACGACAAAAACTTTTGTCCGGTTATAACATCTACAAAAATCAGTCTTCGTCCAAAAGAACTCCGCTAGACCATGAACCCCAGCGCTCCCAGCTACCCCATGGCATCCCTGTATGTCGGGGATCTGCACCAAGATGTGACCGAGGCCATGCTGTACGAGAAATTTAGCCCAGCCGGAGCTATCCTATCCATCAGGGTCTGCAGGGACATGATAACCCGGCGGTCCCTTGGATACGCCTATGTCAACTTCCAACAGCCAGCGGACGGTGAGTAATTTATTAAAATGCCGAGTAAAATGTGTGAAAAAATGTCTGTTTTAACATGCCATGCGGTGATAAGCGAGAGCTAGCCTCCTTTTTTTTTTTTTTGCTACACGTGACTGCGGCCGACATGTTGTCGGTATAGGCAGGGTCTCCTCATGTGAACCTCCCAGCAGTGGCGTAGCAGAGAAGAACCCGGCCCTGTCCACCATAGTAATGTAGCAGCGTGCTGCTGAAAACGAAATGCCTCTTTATCTCTGTTTTGTAAGGACGACACCCAAACTGTTAGGCCTAAAGTGCTGCCTAAACCGTTTATTTAATCCTCCCTGAATGCTAACCGGTTAGCTTTGTTGTGGTATGAAAATTCAACTCTATTTCAAACGTTGTCGGTTAGTTGTTAGAATTTCAGACCGGCACACCCTCTAAAATCGATGCATTCCCCGGTTATGAGCATTGCTTTGCCTAATTCTTCAGAATTAATTAATTTGCCCCGGCATTAAAACAGCAGAAGTATAGTGCAGATAAAGGGAAGAACAAAATACTTCGTAGTTGTTTAAAAAAAAAAGGGAGGCTTAAAAAACTAATTGCAGATAAGTTCACCATAGTCAAAAAGTAGCAGCACATTTGATTTATAAAGTGACCATATGAAATTGTCAAATAATAAAGTGTAAAATGCACCAGGGTAGATTCCAGTGTTATTGCAAATTATGGGTATTGCAGTCTATGTGGGTGGTGCATAGTTTATTTAGATTTTCTGAAATATAATCTGTGGAGGCTTTTGCACAACAACCCTTTTTAATACAGGAAGTATTAGGGTGGTGACTGTAGATCTAGCCCTTTCTAATGCATATTAAATAAACATATCTTGTTAATTTTTAATTGATCCTCAACTAACGGTTATTGTCTGTCGATGAACAAAAAAACCAATTTATTTCTAAAGGAAAAGATTTTTACACTTGACCAAACAATGAAATGATCATTAACATAGAATGTTTTTATTTGAAACCCCCTTAGATGTACTGAATAATGTAACACGTGCTAATTGTGCTTCTCCCCTCAGCCGAGCGTGCACTGGACACCATGAACTTTGACGTGATCAAGGGGCGGCCTGTGCGCATCATGTGGTCGCAGCGCGATCCGTCACTGAGAAAGAGCGGTGTGGGAAACATCTTCATCAAGAATCTTGACAAGTCTATCGACAACAAGGCTCTATACGACACCTTCTCTGCTTTCGGCAACATCTTGTCATGCAAGGTAAAGGACAAGTGACCGACTCCCCTTTTTGTTTCCAACCTGAAATACGGGGGTGCTCACGCAGAAGTCATTGTTATGCCAAAGTGGTCATTTGCATGTGTGCTATGTAAATGTACTGGAGTTTTTTTCATTGTAAAATACTTGCCCCCCACTTTTTACCCCTCAACAGTCAGTTTCTGTTGCCTTCTGCCCATCAACCGAGCACTACATTTGTATGTAGATTAATATTAGATCAACTTTATATATTTTCCCATAGCAACAAAGCTACGAACCAAATTCATGCAACATTGTGGAAACAATTGAGATGTATAACAGCAACAGTCATTTACTGTTAATCAATTGTTGACTAAATGATTTACTTGTTCCTGAATACAAGGCATGCCACATGAAAAGACAGTATTATATAAAAATCTAATATTTGAAGTGTGGTCGAATAACTATTTGAGGTTGAATTTACTGCATGCGTGTGTGGATTTTAAAAACAGCATGTGTTTTCTTTCTCTAAGGTGGTTTGTGACGAGAATGGCTCTAAAGGCTACGGGTTTGTGCATTTTGAGACTCAAGAGGCAGCTGAACGAGCCATTGAGAAAATGAATGGCATGCTCCTCAATGATCGAAAAGTGTAAGTTAAGGTTTAACACATTTAAAACCGTCGTGCATACTAATGTATGAAATGGGGAAACTTTTGTCTTTGTTCAATGAATGATGCTTGAGCAGTTTCAGTCGGGAATTCTTTGCAGAAGTGAGTCAATACATAGGCTTGGCAGATTAAGGCGCAATAAAAAACGAATTATGATGCTTAACGTATGCAATTTGCATTAATATTTTGTCTTATTACT